GATATATATATATATATATATATACACATATCTATTGATATATAAATATTTTTAGACCCCTCACCCAGATAAGAGAGTATTAACAAATAAATGTGTGTATATACACACACATACATATTTATTTGTTAATACTCTCTTATCTGGGTGAGGGGTCTAAAAATATTTACGTGTAATCTGACGTGAAGCCTAATACTGCACATATGTATACATATCATTTGAAACTAACACAATATTAGGAGGTAGGAAAATTCGTTTCATTCAGTTTTTGCTTCCTGATGTTGTGAAAAGATCATAGCTTAATAAAAATTTGCTGATTACTTAATATTTCTTAATCCATGCGAAACGTTCTTTATCGTCACTTGGCTCGTTTTATTTGTTTGATTTTACAAATATAATCTATGTATATTGCTAAGATTTGCTTGCTTTTGTTGCTGTTTTCAAAATATATATGCAAATATATATGAGTATTCTCTTGTTCTTATTTCTTAGATGGCCGACGTGTCGGAGGAAGTGCCGATCAAGGATGCTGCGACGGCAATTTCTCAGGGTAAACGCCACCTCCTGGTACGCGATTATCATCTTGCAGTAGCCGTCTTGGCTCGTGCGTGCGAGCTTCTTGCTCAGGAGCATGGAGAGACCGGTGACGAGATGGGTGAACTCTACCTACTTTACGGTCGAGCTCTTTTGGGTCTGGCTCGTGAAGAGGCGGGAGTATTAGGTGGTGGTGTGCCCGGATCTGAGGAAGTTAGTCAGGATGAGCAAGGTGAAGATGAGGAGGAAGAAAATGAAGAAGGGACCATAACCGAAGGTAATCATACAGAAAGTAGTTCTTGCACATCAAATGGCAAAGAGGATGATAAGCAAGAGACAAAGGATGAAGAAAAAGAGGCTGAAGAACTGAAGGACTCAAAAGGTACAAAAGTTGAAGGATCTGAAGGACTCGAAAAGGATGATAAGATAGAAGAGTCTGATAAAACGGTGGATAGTAAGATTGAAGAACAGAACAAACAGAGAGAAGAAATTCCTGGTTGTAGTCGAGATTTTGATATGCATAATGGTGAAGCTTCTGGTAGTGGCATGAACAGAAAAAAAGAAGACGGAGATGAAGAGGCGGAAGAAGAGGATGTTGAAAAGGAAAATGACGAGGACGAAATTAACAATCTACAGGTGATTTATCTAGACTAATTATGTATTAGAAGACTCATTGAATTTTGTTGTATCAAATATTTTTACTTGTTGTCGAATTATCCAAGTTTAATTGTTAATTTAACGTAATCCATTGCTATTGAATGAAATTATGAATGATTCTAATATCTAATTTCTGTTTCTAGATTGCTTGGGAAGTCTTAGAACTAGCGAAACTGGTGTTAGTAAAACGCGGACCTCCGGGCTGGAAATTTTTGGCTGAGGCTTACCGTCTTCTGGGCGAGGTTGCAATGGAGAGTAGCAACCATGAAAGCGCGCTGATTGATTTCAAGGCTTGTTTGAATCTTCTGGAGAAAATGACTCCACGCGATCATCGTGCGATCGCCGAGATCCATTATCAGCTCGGGTTGGCGCATGCGATGGCGAACAACTTTGACATCAGCATTGAACAATTTAATCAAGCGTCTGCGCTGTTGGAGGCAAAGATTGTGCACTTGAAGACTTTGCAAGATGATCCACCTCAATCTGACGATCCATTCTATACCGTCGAAGGAGAGATAAAGGAACTGCAGGAACTCCTTCCGGAAATCCAAGAAAAAATCGCAGATATCAATGATCTAAAAAAAGAAGCCAATTTGCTCAAAGAGATTAAGGAAGAGAAACTGAATGGATGTTCTAGTGATGGTGAAGCGAATGAGGCTTCTGGAAGTGGTAGTAGTAATAGTAAGTTGAAACCTGCCAGCGATATATCGCATCTGGTAAGGAAAAAGCGCAAAGCTGAAGACGAAGAGGAGACTGCTTCTCTTTGCAAGAAACCGGCGCCTGAAAAGGACGTAGCGTGAAAAGTGCGAGTATCTGTTTTTTCATGATAATCGGATTAATTTGAACTCTGATACAAAATGTTGATATTTTCCTTAATAATGTAGAAAAAGTATTTGCTGATGTATAAAAATTCAGTGTCTTTTTTTTTACAGAAATAACAATTTGCCACTCAGTGAATTTATTTTCAATGTAAATATCAGTAGAATTAATTTTTAGATTGCCAACAAATGACACTTGAAATTCGACACTTAAAATCGTATTATGATATCATAAACACAAGAAATGTTTTACAATTACTTCTTGTCGCGAAAAATATTTGATATTTTTCTTGATAATGAATATTTATCATTGTATAAACACAAAACGTTCTCTGACAAAGATCATCAATTAATAATTTCCAACATTTCCATTTCAAACGATTATCAGAATTTGTCACAAGTTAATATCCATATTCATTAGTTTATATTAAAAATTTATTATGATATTATCGTAAGTTGAATGAAATTATTTTATAACTGAAATAACAATTTACATTTATTTTTAAATGGAAGATTTTTAGGGTACGCGTGTGCGCGTTTCATTTAACATTTGACAACAAGGATGAAATAATACTCGCAAGCATTACAAAGTGGTACTCTTATTAATTAATAGAATTTATGAAAGAATATAATTCCAGTAATAAAAAATATTTATCTTATTTTAATTTTAATCTATAATCCATTTAATGCTACAAATGCTTTGAAGCCTTTTTTCATTGATCAATTACTTAGTAAAATTTTTTCTTCCGATTAATTAATCGGTTGCCGTATGGGTTGTCCATATGAGAGCAATGGACTTGTAATCGACAGGCCGCGAATCCAAATCCCGTATCTTATATTTACGAAAAATTTCGTAATTTGTACTGACTTCTAGCGGTAAAACAAAAACAAAACTCGCCAACATGCAATGGCAAGCGTGGCATTTCAATGCCAAAGTCTTCCAAATCAACATAAAAATGTCGAAATTTAAAAACAAAATTACTCCAGACGAGTAAAGCGGAAAGCTCAGAATCTCGCACTGGTACGTCAGTCTGCCTCAAGGATTCTGGAGAAGGCAAAGTTTCGATACACTCGAAGAAAAGCCGAACAAACAAGAATGTCCTAATAGCAAGCTATAATATCCGCATAATGAGGCGGAAAGAATTCTTAAAGAGTCCGAAAAACGAACTCAGAAATATGGAGAAAAATAGAAGAGATTTATGTCCAGGAGTAGATGAAAACAGACTAAAGAAGAAGAAGAATCAAATATTTCGAAGCATTCATTTGTAACACTAAATGGATCGTGTTCCATAGACACTTGTTACATCCATAAATTTATTAGATAAAATATTCTGCTGTATCGAAATATATTCAATCATCCATAATTCGTTCAAAGTTAGAGGAATTTGAAGTTCTACGAGTTAGTTTTCGAGAAAAACTTGATATGATTTTAAAAGTATTTAATAAAGTATATATTTTATTGTATTGTGTTCTTCTTGATTTCGCGAGAAAAGAGACTTGTTGAGATTTTTTAAATGTTGTAGATGGAATATTATTTCTCTGAATATTATATTAATTTTTTATTTATACCCCAGCAAATACGTTCACACATATGTTAAAGAGACTTTTATATATTCCGTTTTTTATTCAATAATATTTCGTTTGTGGCATCAAGGTTAAATTTTTGAGAATGGTGTGTGCGTGCGAACATATTTTTTGATTTGATCAGAGAAGCTATTATGGAACTATTTGGAGAGGTTTCCGAAAGTAGATTAGAGTAGTTAATCTACTTTGGCGATACTGAAAATTAGGAAATCTTTCACAAATGAAAAAACTTTAAAGTGGTTCTGTATTGGATTTCTTCATCTAATAGTTGTTAATTTTTGTTGTTCATTAGAATTCAGAGAAGATCCATGGTACCTAAAGAGACAGACGGAAACTGTCGCATTTTCTCAGTGACTGATATAGTTCCATAATATTCTCAGAAGATAGGCTACAATGTATTTATTCTAGTTTAGCTGAATAGCAGCAGACACAGTACTGTTTTGAACTGTAGATATAAGAATTCAAGTAGAAGTAAGTGATTGTTTGTGTATGAATATCACATAAATAAATGTTAAAGCAATTTTTTATTTGCGTGTATTTTTTCAATTTACTTTGCTTGATATAATATATTATAATCGCAAAATATAATGTTGGACGCACTAGTGCGAACTAATACCATTCTACACTGATTTAATTTGTGTGAAGATACGATTTTTATATATATATTAAATGTTTTTTTACATCAAGTTATGTACGACGATTTTAATGTGTAGTTCATACTGAATGCATCCAATCGAATTTACTATAAATCTTTAATGAAAGAATTCGACCAAAATATATATATGTTGGCATGACTTTTTACCGACATTTGATAACGTTTACTATCCACATGTTTAGCTTACAATTTCTCCTATTTGTCGAAGAAGCGTTGCTTGTACAATCACAAACTTCGTGAAAATAGATTAATATTTTGTCACTGAAGAGACATATGTTTTTCCTTTCGTTATTACAAAATATAAATGCATATTTGAATAATTGTAGTAAAAATCGTATAAATATAGCACCGAGTACTCCCAAGCAAGGCTTTAATATGACCTTATGAAATAACAATAAATTGAGGTACAATTAACTATTACGTGATATTTTTATACGGGATATTCCAAGTAAAAATACAAGAGCATGAGTGTTCTCGAAAAAAATAAGTTACAAAAGTATTTGTTATTTGTCGTTCCTATATATCGGTAATTTTTGAAATATGTGGAGGTTACAAACTGGCTAATTATAGATTGCAATTAAATGAGTTATAATCCGTAACTGACCAGTTTTTAACTTTTGTCTCGAAAACTACTGTTTAGAACTGTAAATAGCAAATGTATTTGTAATTTATGTTTTCAAGAATTTTGTTGCTGTGATATTTTGATTTATGTGATCTCAGAAAACCCCTATCTGGAGACACGGTAGTATACATCTATTTTTTAACAAGTCTTGTAATATACGTGGACAATTTGATAAACCAGTAACTCCTTTTACTTTTTTTAAAATCAAAATTCAATTTATTTTTTAACATAATCTTTTAAAATGTACATACATATAACATACACACATTTTCATTTTAGTATTACATATGCAAGTATGGATAACGAGCAAAGCACAAAGAAGCCGAGACTTGAAAAGGTTCCTACTGTGAGTGAGGGAAAGGCACAAATATTGGTAACAAATGAAAGAGTGTTTTATAATCCCGTTCAAGAATTCAATAGAGACCTTAGTATAGCAGTACTAACGATATTTGCAAAGGATTTTAACGAAGAAGTGCTGCAGAAAAACAAGTTAAAGAATGCTAATAAAAGTATATCGCATGATGCCGAAAATCAAAGAGGAATTACTATATTGGAAGCTTTATCTGCAACTGGCTTGCGTAGTATAAGATATGCCAAGGAAGTAGAAGGTGTCCAGCAGATTGTTGCAAATGACATCTCTGCGAAAGCGGTAGATAGTATCAAGCAGAATGTTTTACATAACGGAGTTGAAAATTTGGTAACTCCTTATCATGAAGACGCAACGCTATTGATGTATCAACGTAGAAAAAATCGATTCGACGCGGTAGATTTAGATCCCTACGGTTGTCCCTCGATGTACCTGGATAGTGCGGTGCAGTGTGTATCCGATGGTGGCATACTTCTGGTTACCGCTACTGATATGGCCATTTTGGCTGGCAATGTTCCGGAAACTTGTTACTACAAATATGGAGCAATATCCATAAAGTCAAAATCTTGTCATGAGATAGCATTGAGAATATTACTGCAATGCATCGCGTCTTATGCAGGCCGTTACGGACGATACATAGTACCATTATTGTCTATAAGCGTTGATTTTTATATAAGAGTATTTGTCAAGGTTTTCACAAGTCATGACAAGTGCAAAGAGAACTCCAATAAGATAGGAATGCTCTATCAATGTAACGGATGCGAGAGTATGAATTTTCAACCATTATTAACGAGGAAGGCTTCCAAGAATTATAAATTGCCAAATGCACCCGTAATAGATCAATTGTGTAAACATTGTCAACATAGGCAACATATGGGAGGTCCAATATGGCTAGGTCCTTTACATGATCATGAATTTGTGTCGCGATTATTGTGTAACTTGAACAGCATGGAGTTGGGTACATTGAAAAGAATGGAGGGCGTCCTGACCGTGATACATGAGGAACTGGACATTCCTTTGTATTATAATCTAGATCGCTTGATGTCTATAGTTAAGTGTCACGTTCCACCAATGTTAATGTTTAGGTCAGCATTATTAAACGCGGGATACAAAGTGTCGTACTCACATGCGAGTAAGATATCTATTAAGACAAATGCGCCAAATGATGTTATATGGGATATCGTGCGTGCTTGGGAGAAGGATCATTCAGTAAAACGGGAGAAATTGGCTGAGGATAGCCCCGCCGCGCGGATACTTAATACATCGTCTACGACGGACATCTCGCTCGCTATGCATCCTCTTGCCAATCCGATTTCTCGGCAAAAGCATTTGTCTCGTTTTCAACAGAATCCCACTGTAAATTGGGGACCTGGCGTTCGTTCGAGAACTAGAGTTGATCTTGAAGATAAAGCGGATGATTCGAAAAAAGTGAGAAATCAAAATAAAAACATTAAAAGAAAATCAGCTATGGTGGAAAAGCAGATAGTACAATAATAAACGCAAAGAGTATCCCGTGATTTATGCTCGATGTATTTTGATATTTTGAATAATTTTTCTGAATTAATGTACATTAAAAGTAGAAAAATCGCAACGAATAATTTTTATAAAATTATATGTATATGTATATTGACACAATCAGGTGACAAATAATTTTCTGACAGAGATATGTGAGTTCTTATATATTTATACGATATTGCATATTGTTATCTAAGATTGTAAGAAACTTTGACATCATTGCAAATGTATCTTTTATAATAAAATATTTTTTTTTTACCAAATCTATCATTTATGTGCACTTTTATCATTAGTTTTATCATTATCGTATTTATTGTAAAATCCAAATCTCAACAAGAACATTTGAAAAAGAAAAGATTATGAAAAGACGTTTTTTGGCTTAATCAAAATTGATTTTTCAAACACAATATATAAATATAACTCTTGTGAGATATATTATTAGACATGTACGCTTAAAATTTTCGACAATATATAATAAGGTTATTACATATTTATTTACATAATTTGAATTATTACATAACGTAATTTTAACATTTTTCCAGATTGGATGTTTTATGTATGTCAGTATAGTGAACCACGCTGGTATAAATACATACAAGTGGGCTACCAGTAGGTCGCTACATCGTGTACTGCCATACAGGACAGTTTATGTTATTGCTCGGTTAAGATAAACGTTTAGTTTATCAAATTATGACAGCGAAAACTATAGTTTTGAACAACGGTGTAAAGATTCCCGTACTCGGGCTTGGTACCTGGCAGGCAGGTGTAAGTATAAAGCAAGATAAAACGGCAGATTCTTTCAAAGAAACTTAACTTACGTTTGTTTCTATCAATGTAAATTAATTCTTATCTCGATTTAACCTATTTTCATTATTTTGTAATTCAGAAAAAGATGAAAATTTAAACCGAGATTAAAGTTAACTTATATTTTTATAAGACCGGTTTTACAAATGAAAAATTAATTTTAATCTCGATTCAATTTATTCTTTTTTTCTAAATATTTATATAGAATTGGATATTAAATCTCACAGAGCGGTTTTAACTTAGTGTGATCGCAATCACTTCAAAAGAGAGAAATATCACGAATTTTTCGTTCAAATTTTTAGAGCAGCTTTATGTATAGCTACATGACACTGCACTGCGCAATATCACGCAACAAAGTACAATTTTTGGTCTTTGTTACACTTGCATTTTATTCACTTTGACTGATATTTCACTTTTTGAATTTTACCAAGTATAAGTACATTGGTGGGAAACAAGCATTTAAATTGGTCACTGATATCATTTGATGTCCAATATGAAAAAGAGCCGGTATCTTTTTTAATGTCAACGCAAAGTTCGTAATCACTTCGTAATAAAACTGTGTATACAAAAACAACTTGATTATCTAAACAGCACTTGCGATAAACTTTTGTAATTGATAACTATTACCTAAAAATTAAGAAATTGTGATGAATTCATTACAGTTTTATTTTTTACGAATTAATATTTTCATTTGTCCAGTTTCAGATATTTCCGTCTCATCTGCTAAGATAAAGAAATTTCTAAACGCATAGCATCTGAAATTTTATGATTTCATTAATTTAAATAATAAAATTGTTACATTTTAATACAAAAATTTACAGTGTAGCATATAGTTTTAGGAAACTTTTTGTATTGTGTGTAATCGTTTTATTATTTATTTTACTCTAACATTGAGAATGACTTGTTTGATCGAAACGTATATGTTGTATTTTATTACAAAGATATTATTAAATATTAGCAATTTTAATCTAGCTTTTGCTCTTAGCTCCTTTGTATTTATAATATTAATTAATTTTATTCAGTTGAGCGTCACATATATTAATTATTATTATAATTAATTTAATTTTGTTTTAGGATGATCCAAAGATTGTCGAGCAAGCTGTGCACGATGCTATTGATGCTGGATACCGGCATTTTGATTGCGCTTACATTTATCAGAATGAAAAGGAAATTGGCAAAGCTCTACGTGAGACGATCGCGAAAGGGATTGTGAGGAGAGAAGATCTCTTCATTACTACTAAGGTACATTCGCGTTATCCCCTTATCTGAATCCCGATGTTATATAAAACTAAATAAAATTCATCTTATTCAGTTGTGGAACACATTTCATAAACGAGAAAACGTGGTGCCGGCTTGCCTAAAATCTGCGGGAAACTTTGGACTCGGCTACGTGGATCTCTACCTAATACACTGGCCCATGTCTTATGCGGTAAATTTAATGGACTTTTTACTGTAAGCTATAACAATAAATCAGAAGTCAAGAACGAATTGTAAGCAATAAGTCAGTATATAGTGTCTTGTAAAACAGCGATAAGTCCGCAGTAATGATTGCAGTCGGTGATTGCATGAAGATAAATTATATAAAAATTTCATTTCTTACAGAATTTAAAACTTCGATTACATCATGACTGACCAATCACAGTATATTATTATTTTCCTTGAACTTACCACTCTTCTGATTGGTTAAATAATGTGATATAACAATCTAGTACGATTTATTCTTTAGTTTTTCCTAAGATTTGTGACTTATAACTTTAAGTTATCAATAATATGATATAATAAGTGTGATTAACGACTTATTGTAAAAAATCCATAACATTTTAACGCTTGTCAATGACTTTTTTGAGAAGATGTTACGCGATTGCAGTCATTAGATAAAAATCAGTGGTATCGTACCATCGTTATTGATACGTCTACAACACGAAAAAAGAAAATAAAGGCTAATCTACACTGTGCCTTTTGCTATTTCATGCTTTTTACCTCCTATCTTTTGCTTTTATCCTATTTCAATGTTTTTTCTCGTTCAAGATAAAAAATATTGATTTTAGAAGGGACAAGAAACACACGTTACAAGAAATACGATTGTCAATAAAACTGTAGCGAAGAAGAAAAAAGATAAAAAGTAGAAAGCAAGAAACAGAAAGTAAAGTGCATATTGTAGATCAGCTTTAAATATCGCGCAATGCGAAAATTATATTGCAAACGAGTTTTGCATTACGATAAAAATAAAAATCGCGAGCATATTATAACCGTTCCTGCTTACGCCGCGATTATTTTAGGAAAATGCCGACGGTATAATGCCGCTTGACGAAAACGGCGATCCGATGTTCGGACACGAGGATTTCCTTGACACGTGGCGCGGTATGGAGGAATGCGTGAAATTGGGTTTAACGAGGAGTATTGGCCTCAGTAATTTCAACGCTGAGCAGATTGACCGCGTATTATCGATTGCTCAAATAAAGCCGGTAATAAATCAGGTGGAATGCCATCCGAATTTGAACCAGAGAAAATTGAGAGACTTTTGTGCGAGTCGTGACATAGCTGTCACAGCTTATAGCCCGTTTGGTTCGCCTAATTGGCCTTGGACTAAACCTGGCGATCCCAAAGTTGTCCTTGATACACCTGAAATTGTAAATATTGGTGCTAAGTACGGCAAAACTCCCGCACAAGTTATTCTAAGATACTTGGTAAGACGTGCTATTATTAATTAATACTGTATACGACTCTACCGGGTGTCTCTTTAATTATATAATCTTGACTGACTTAGAGACGATCTTTTCTTTATGGAGAGAAATATTGAGATATTAATTATTTCTCATTTATTTATAAACAATTAAAAAAGAAGGAATTAAATTCGCAAATTTTAGAAAATCAAATAAATAGCATACAAAACAACATTCTCCAATTATTTTCAAGTAAAGCGTTACTTAAAGAAAATCTTAATTAGAAGTGTAGGAGTTAAAAATATGCACTATGCAAAAATTGGAATATGTAATAAATGATTTTCGATAAAGAAAAATTAACTTCTCAAATTGTTCAGAGAAAACTTACATTAAAGGGATACCCATTGATTTCAAGACACTTTATATAGAGATTGAATAATTCAGCAATAATTTTTTATAATAGATTGACATTGGTACTATACCAATCCCAAAATCTAGTTCAAAGAAGCGTATCGAAGAGAATATTGACATCTTTGATTTTAAGTTAACTCCGGAAGAAATAGTCACGATCGACAAATTCGATTGTGATGGACGTATAGTGCAGCTTAAAAAGTACATTATACTTAATTATTTTTTTAAAGAATGTTATAGTACATTTTTAACAACTAAATTTTCTATTTTTTCAGATATGAAACGCACAAGGATTATCCTTTCCGTTTGGAATTTTAATTGACAGCGTACGACAAACGTTTCGTAAATGGCTCTTATTAACCAATCAGACGAGACCTATTGGCCAGCAGCTCCTTTTTAATTGGTTAAAAGACGCAAACGCGAACGCAGACGTAATCTCCAATCGCTAGTATGATACGGGCATTAGACACGGTTACACCAATATTACTTGATTTTAAGCGAGACTTCAGACTCTATCTATCTTGTATTAAAGCTGAAAGAGAGGCAGAAACAGAGACAGTTTAAGTTTCGCTTAAAATCGAAATTACAATCGTGGGTGCAATCGGGCCTTAGACAATCAATATTATTACACCAATATTTTTGATCACACACACATCTGGAGACTCCAGTTGTTTTAAATTGTTTAAAAAGAGTGTCAATATAATATTGTATAAAATAATTGTAAAATATTATTGAATATCTAATTGTAAGAGACGCTTTAGACTTTTCTATCTAATCATTTTCAATTTAATCCCCGAATATAAATGATTGTTTAATATCAGCTTATGCAGAATAAATCCTATATTGCATGCAAAATTGAATACTTATTTTAATCTTAACTTTTATTCTTAACTACTCCTTATTCTCGAGTAATCGAGACTATAAAGTGGATCCTTTCTATTTTTTCATTACTTCCAGGTGTGTTACTTTATGAATATACAGAAAATTATAAACATATCCGAGCAATGATTACGTGAAAATTATTCTGCGTGAGCTATGCTAGAGTACCTGAGAGTATAGAGAGTGGTTAAAAAAATTAATAAAGAACTCTCCTAATAAATCATAATTAGAGAATATGCTTCGACTGTATTTCGATATTCATTTTTAAACGATATCTGTTTACGAATTAACATACATTTCACAAATGTACTGTGATAATTTTTTGTTATTATATAAACCGAGGTATAAACGCAAGTTATTATATCGCGAGTAGCATATCAGAGGTAGTATCATAAAATATTATTCAATATCGCAGCATTATCTAATCTAGAATTAAATATTACGTGTCTCGAAACTCGTTGAAAATCTAAAGAATAAGAGATAAATATCGTTATCTCCATTTACTATGCGAGATTGTGAACGTGACTCTTCTTTTTCGCTTGCAATCGATTAAAAATAGAAATAGGTACAACTGCAAATTATGTCATAATAATCAACTAACAATGTTAGTTCTCATGTTGTATTAACGTGTGCGAAACGAATTTCCTGATTTCTAGACAGCTGAAAATACATTTTCGTAATAATTATCCCGATTTTAGAACAAGTAGATAGATTTATTGCAGAGATACATTTTGTAAAGTCGTACGTGGAAATTGTATTGTACACTAATCTTATAATTAATAATTAAAGAAATTGTTAAATTATATAAATATTATCTAATTAAAAAAATGTGATATGTATTCCTCAGTTTTAAATTCGAGCAATAGAGGGCGAGTTTTTTAATTCATCTTATATCAATCGATGAATTAAAAAAACTCATCCATATTCACGACTATCTATTCGATATAATGCTTAAAACAAGCATATGTATTTTATCGATTTTTTTCGTTAACGTGGTTCATATCTCTGGGTGTCTTCCAACAAGAGACGCACTACATGACATTATATGTATATGTATAACACGATGAGACAGCAATTCAGTTGATCATTGATTACGAGTCGCTTGTAGGAAGGCTCCCTCTCTCCCTCTCTCTCTCTCTCTCTCTCTCTCTTCTCCCTCCTATCTCCTACAGGCAGGCTGTTATTATCTATCATTTTGCTTTTATTGTTTCTTCCGAATCTTAAGGAAGGATATAAAAAGATACTCTGAAGCACTCAGGTAGTGTTTTTGTAGCTACACAAGGTGCAGTCGTGGGCAATCGTGGGCGTGGTGTTTTATGTTATATGTGTGCGTACAGTCTATTTTGAGTCGACGATCTTACTGGTCGTGCTAGTGAAGTGACGAATATTCGAGAGATATATAGTAGAGCTTATTCGTTGTTAGTACTTTTATTTCCAGGTAATAATTCTCGCACCGCAACGCACAGTATTGCATGCCTATCGATACTGTGAGTTGTGTTAGACGATATAGCTATTCAAAGTGTTTCATAACAGCCAAGGACTCGGTTGCACTGTTTTATTGCAGCTTCCTCCAACGGCCTTGCACACACGCTTCCTGTTGTATACACCTATCTATATTAGTCGGCGATAACAATGGCTGGTATTCCGACAATCACATTTTCGAATGGACACAAAATGCCGATGTTGGGCCTCGGAACTTATAAGGTACGTGTGTTTCATAACAAGCGATAGACGTAGCCGCTTAAACATATGCGTACAAATTACATCATTATCGGAATGTACCATTTTACGCGCGTTTTATTTGAATTTCAAACGTATCGCAGCATCCACGTCAAAATGGAAATCAAGCAATAATTATTCTTATCGTATTCTGTTAACGATCATTCATCCCTATTTATTTTATTAATACAACGACAAATCGATTTTTATTTAATATTTTTACTGGGAATTTATATTCTTTATCAAAACTACTTAATTAACTACTTATATAAGTGTGAGTTGCCATCCATCCTCTCCCCCCTCCCCCTCCCCCCCGGATACCTTTTTCTTTTTTAGGACATGGGACGTTTTCGGGAGATTTTACCCAATATAAAATTAGATTTATATTGTTTCAAGTTTCAACCTTCATCAGATCATCGTCACAGTGTATACAAATAACAATTTAAATTGATTAAAAATAATAAATAATCAATTTTACTTTGATATAGCAATCCTACTGTACATAATTTGTACTTTTTTATTTTTGGGAAAAAACAGTCTCAGATGGGGGATGTGAAAAGAGCTGTTAAGGATGCGATAGATCTAGGATATCGTCATATTGATACAGCTTTCTTTTATGTTAATGAGAAAGAGATCGGGGAAGCTATCCGCGACAAAATTAAAGATGGTAGCGTGACCAGAGAGGACCTATTTATTACCACAAAGGTGAGATTAATGCATAAGCATAATATAAATACGAATATCTATTTTGTCATCTGTTAAATTCCAAATAATTAATTTTTTTTATAAAAGACACAATAAATATAAAAATGTTAATTGAATATTTTATTTCCTAAATTTAATTGTAATTTTTGTAATTGTAATAATTAACACTGCGATCCAGCTTCGACCGTTACGGCTTTCTCTATCTAATTTGTTAATTGTAATTGTTTCGTTGCAGTTGTGGAACAATTTCCATAAAGAAGAGCATGTCGTCCCAGCTTGCAAACAATCATTGGCCAATCTTGGTTTAGATTATGTGGATCTCTTTTTAGTTCATTGGCCATTTGCTTTTAAAGTAAGCATTGACATCAACAGAATGAAATAAAAAGAGATTTTATTTTTTTTTTTTATTATATAAGGTAAATTTTTATTATAAGGTAAATGTACTAGTTAATGGACATGAACCAATTGTTGGAAAAAGTGACAAAACATTTTAAATATAAAGCTTTTGATGGTATGTACAATTTCAAATTAATTTGTAATTAAATTTTTATAAACAATAAATTTATTTGAAGTTGTACATATCATTAAAAGCTTAATATTGACAATTTTGTACCACTTTGTCCAACGAATTGGATCATATCTACTAACTGTCCACTAACTGGTTCATTTACCTTAAGCATATTTCGAACTACATGGTGATGAGTTGCTTTCAGATATATATGTATAATTATACAATATCACCTAATAATTAAGATTTTGTTGTAAAAACTGAAATTAGAAAATGCATCAATAATTCTGTTACTCTAAAAAGTGGAATACCAAATTAATGACATTTATAGCCGTTCCTCATTAATATTAAGAGTGCCTAATATAATGGTAAATTCTTGTTCATGAAGAAATAATTATGAATGTCTATGATATGTTTCAATTCGTAATATTTATTTAGAGATATCTTGTAGGAAGGGGATGATTTATGGCCTACAGATGCTGCTGGAAATGTTTGCGAATCGAATATCGATTACTTGGAAACATGGAGAGGAATGGAAGAGTGTGTTCATCAAGGCTTAACTCGCAGCATCGGAATCAGTAATTATAACTCCGAGCAAATTACTCGTTTACTTAAATCGGCTAAAATCGCCCCAGTCAATAATCAGGTATATAGTACTATCTAAATCATTTCATAATCATTGCATTTTTTCCAATAGGTTTGCATTTCAAATTAATAAATATCTTTTTAAGAAATGTTTTTCTTTTTGCATATTTTTAAAACATTTAAAAAAATTAAAAATCTTTATATAAATGTCATTTATATCATATTAACGCTATGAGACTTATCAATGTTCAAAAAATTCTTTTATAGATTGAAGTTAATATAAATGTAAATCAGGAGAAATTAATAGATTTTTGCAAGAAACATAACATAACGGTAACTGCTTATTCTCCTTTGGGACAACCTGGAAATTCAGCCGGCGTCGACAATAAATTAAATAATCCTGTAATATTGCAACTTGCAAAAAAATACAATAAGACGCCGGCGCAAATAGCACTTCGATATGTGGTAACAAAAAAATTCAACAGAAACTGTTTCTGACAGAACTGTTCCTTTCGTGTAATTAAAACAGATATATACTATACAGTCATATTTTATTTTTATAGTATCAACATGGAACTGCGCCAATACCTAAGTCGGTAACTAAAAGTCGAATTAAGGAAAACACTGAATTTTTTGATTTCACGTTAACATCCGATGAAATGAATGCTATTCGTAAACTCGGTACTGGAGAGAGAGTGGCATTTTTCGCCCCGTAAGTATTACTATATGCAAAGTATTTACCTGTTATCATATCTCCTTCCATATATGAATATTTTACAACTTTGAAATCTTTAAACATTTTTTTAAATAACATTGTTCTTTGGTTAATATACATTAAATTTTAATTGTAAATGAGCTGTAAGTCATATTAAAATTCAGGACTAGATTTCTACATATAATTCTACATGTTATATAAGTAAAAAAATATCGCAAATTATAGATTATTTAAAATGAACTTTGAAGAATAATAAACACTGTATAAAGATTTGAATTACACAATAGATTATAATGTGTATATTCATGTATATTTTTTTAAACAATTTTTTTGTTTCTGTGTTTCAGTGCGAAGAATTTCAAATACTTTCCTTTTAACATTCCGTTTTAAATCAGTATAAAGCGAAAAAGGAAGAAGAAAAGAAAAAGAGAAATGAAATTTTATATATATATATATATAAACACACACACACACACACACACACGCACGCACATATATATATATAATTTACATTTACAATATATGTATATGAAAAAATTAAAAACTTTAGAAAAGGACTGTGTACGCACATATGTACAATACATATTTCAAAATATTTTTTTTATTTAAAGCTGTACTTCTCGCTTAAAATATAATTCTAAATATTTTCAAATGTTATAATACTTATTTTTTCTTTCTTTGATAACTCATAGATAAATAAAACAATAATTAAGAAATATATTAATTAAACATACGATTTAGCATGATGTTTCTTAATGTAAATATGGATTTATTGAGTCTAAAAGGCAGCAGGAAACGAGTTGTAACGTCGAAAATAATCATATTAGTATCCCCTTTAAAAGCGCACTCGAAAGCGCATATTCTCATGACAGTGTTTGAAGCTCGCTCGACCCTTGGTCTAGCCAATTACAATTATTGGACGCTGCGAAAAATTTCAAGGTCTGGGCCAAGACCACTCACACGAATCAATTTTTCGTCCGTTTCGTACGACACGTGATATATCCGAAATATTATAAAACACGTTTTAATCTTTGCTCAAAAATCTCACGTGCCGCAATTGATAAATCGAGATAGAATTGCTACAGAGCTCCTGACGGAAAAATCCAGTGTCTTAAAATCTTGTTTCGATTATACCAATCGTTATGTTTGTAAAATGACGTATCATTTTTGCAGACTATAATTTTGCATATTAAGAATTGCGTACACACACATTGCTTATGTACTTGAAAATTTTCCAATTCAGTTTTATCAACAAATAAACAGAAGATATTTTAAAACATTCTAAGAATGTTTTGACTGTTTTTACAATTATGATATGCTAGAAGATCAGTACACAGTCATTATCAAGTAAATCAATATCCTTGAAGTTAATATGTAGTTTTATTATACGTACATTACATGTTTTTCTTTTATGAAAATTTTTATCGGGTTTATATTGTCGGCTCTCTCTCTTTTTATTTATTTTGACTTTATCGGCAATTTTGTAAATCCAAAAAATAAAAAATTTGGAATACCTAAGTAAAAAAATTATGAAAGATCTTTCTCATTGGGAAGATAAATAAATCAATATATTTTTTAAATTGCATTTTGTAAAATTCTACATATATGTATAGAATAAATTTCCAAAGCAGTTTTGAAAAAAAAAAATATTTTTGAGATAATAAACATTTTCTGAGATATTGCATAGGAAATCAAGCAAGCAGAGGAGGATTAACAATCGACTGTACATTATGCTGATTTCAAGAGATTAGTTTTTAATCTCTATTGTGTTACGATCTTTGGAACAAGTTTAAGCAGATACCAAAATGAACAAATTTTGGCTACTACAGAAAACTTCACAGCGATTTTTATGTTATTCATGACGTGCAAAATTTAAAAGACCAGGAGAGGGAGAGTGAAAGAAAAGTATTATTTTATCTCTGAAATCTATAAGATAAAATTTCCTATTAAAACAAATAAAAAATTTCATCTAATCGGTGTATTGTATAACTTATTAACTTCCAAAAAATAGTTAATTTTCAGACCCCTAAATTAATGAGGAAAACCACTTAAATAAATATCTTTATCAATTTTTTAAAATAAAATTTTTCAATATTTATTAAAAAACTGCAAGATCCATGCATATTCAATATCTAATCAAATAAAAACGGGAGAGAGCAAGATACACGTTAAAATAATTGTATAATTAAAAGCAATTAGGACGTTTATTTCGCGATAGCTTCACCGCGTATAACTGCCGGTTCATCAACTTTGCTTAGCAATTTTATTAAAAGCTATATTACTGTAAATGAAACTTTGTTCTTCCGCAAGGAATCGTCAAGGGCTCGATTCATTGCTCCAAATATTCTATAACGGTCACTGTAACTTTCCACGATGCCGGCAAATTCAACCACCACTACGCAGACATTTGAATCAGTATTATTACTGATCACTGCGTTGATATGTGTGAGTGTCAAACGTGCATCAGCAGCAATATCGTCATTACGCAAAAATCACGAAACACGTACCCCCACCAAAGTAAGCATTTTTAAAACTATAATAAATAATAGGTTCTGTACGAACAAAACAAATTAGAACAATCGAAAGGCTAAGAGGCAGTTATGTAATATTAAGGATTTAATTTAAAAATGTAAAAATAATTACAAATTCGACGCCGATTGGATCATTTTTCAATATGCTACAGAAAATACGTAATAATAATAAAATTATTAGAAATCTATATTGCTTTATCATGATATTCTCGTTTTTCCTTTGTCATAATCTTGCGAGTCAATAAATTTTTACTGTTATTCTTTTTCAAACAAATGTATGATAAATTGCATATACGTATAAATAATTAATCTGGTACATAATTAATTCGGATCAAAAAAAGCTATAAAAATAAGTAATGAAAGAATATGTAAAATTGTATGATAAATATTCAACGAGCTAAGTATAATATGTATAGATTATGAAAAATTTTTTCGAGCGATACGTTGGCGATCAAATCTCCAATTCTCCACCAATCTTTACCGCCGACGCACACTAACACAGATGTACATTGTGTAGCGTAGCAAAATCGATTTTGCCGTCGTGAATCCGGTGGGTGACCGGTCCTCTTAGGTGGGGATATTTATAAAAGGAACTGGTCGAAGCGAAGCCGCCGGCAGTGCGTCGTGTGTCATCAGCCTTGTTTGAATTTTCTGACGGTTTCTACGTAGCAACGTCCGTTGATATTCATATTTTTCTGTAACCGTATTGCTGCTTACGTAAACGTAAAATGGTTTTGACTGCACCAAAAGTGAAATTTTACAACGGCAACGAAGTGCCGATCTTCGGCCTAGGAACGTGGAAGGTAATGTTTCTCCTCTCGTGTTTTCTCAACTTGTTATTTAGTCCCGACAATTTCGTCATTGGATCATATTTTGCAAAAATAGTGTACACATATATTTTATACTTTTGCAATGTAAATGAGAATTTGTTTCTTATCGAAATATATTATGATTCTTGTATCAGCAAAATTTATTGAATTAAATCCTTGTTTTCGTCAAACGAGATAACGTCAGATATAATTAGATTTTATTGAATTAGCTTATTATCCACGCAGTCGGCAAAATGTTGGTAATTTGCTTACAAATTTGTAGAAAATTCGATCAAACATTTCAGCAAATTACCATCAATATCCGCACAATTAAGCTTTTATTTAAGCCGACAAAGCTTGCTGACGTAATGTTAGAACATAAACCATTACCAAGCAGAAATCGGTTATCTTATTATTAGGTATTAATTAATTTGTTGATCAATTTTTGTAGATTGTCAACTACACATTTTGTATAGTTTTTGTCAACAATTTGTTCTCAGTAGATTTATGTATCTGCCTCTAATTTGCTAATATTAAATAAATAAACAGAATTTATGTTAAAGATGCCTTTTCGACATTTGTAGCAAAATTAATTTTTAACAAACTTGTTTGACTGATTGTGAATAACTATTATTAGTAGTTAAGCTATTGTAACTTACAAGACATGCTTTATTCATGTTAAGATTTTTATGAAGAAGAAATATATTTTGACATAAAAATTCTGAGATTAGATTTTCTGTAAAAAAAACTACTAAAAATCTAAGCTGTGTTGTATTATTCACTGTGAATACATAATATGAACTAGATTTGTAATATTTACAGTAAAGAACAAAATATAGCCTTATAGTCAAGGTTTTGATACATATTGCATTTTATTGCGTAATATATATTTTGCTTTATATATATTATTTAATTTCTACTAAATTCCACAAATTAAATAAATTTATATCATAAATTTGTGAAATAAAGATGTACAAATCGATAAAATATTTTTGTATAGATTAGATATCGAGTCAATATCTAATCTATTTAATTAAATCAGCTCAGATTGAAATCCGTTCTGACTTTGTTCCATGATAGGTACCCAGATCAAACTTTCTATAAATAAAAAGTTATTAAAATTTGAAGACTTTAAACCATATTACATAACATAACAGCAATCTCAATTAAATTATAATAACTTTTTTTTACAGAAAATCTAATTTTATTTGATCTAATTGATTAGACATTGACTCAATATCTAATCTATATATAAGAATTATTTTATTGATTTGTAGATTTCATAAGTTGATAATGTAAATTCAATAAATTTGTAGGATTAGTGATATCTATCACTAATTCCACAAAATAAAATGATAAAGCAAGATATTATACAATGAAATGGAATTGTTAATGCTTGTGTTGCATCTTTATTACTGATAATATTTTTGAAAATGTAATTAAAAATATATTTTTAGCTTATAAGGCAATAATCTTTTCCTAAAATTCTAGAATCTACCATTACCACTAGTTTTTAAATCTGACTGGCTATGAAATTCACATAATTCGCTAAGATAACAGAAACGCAATCTTATGCAATTATTTAAAGCAGTCTCATATGGTATAACAAGTATTTTAAGAAGTAAAAACTGCGATACTTAATTAAAATTACAAAAATTCAAAGGAGCAAAAGAAAATAATCTAGTTAACATTTTTGTATATGTAATACATATTGTATTTTATTTTAATTACATCTTATCCTTTTATTAATTTTTCCTTGTTTCTCATTTTTTTTTTATAATTTCGCTTTAGTACACAAAGTCTTTTCTTTCAAAGTTTTTTTTATGGAGAAAAATTTTTGTAAATTTTACTGTTTTATAACCATTACATTATGTACATATTTATCAGTTTAAGTGCATATATTATGTAATCAACTATTCAATGTGACTATTGATTCTACAGTATATTTTAAGTCAACTACTAAGAAATCTTCATTATACAATGTATCCATTGTTTCCAAAATTGTCAAAATAATATTTCCAATCATGAAATTGTGAAATCTAAGAAATAATTTCCAAGATTTACATTGTCTTTACATATACTTTTGCAATTAAACTATTTTAGACCTTTTTGAAAAAGTAAATCTACTTAAAATGGTCAGAGATTTATATTGAAATTTAATTTTGTTTCAGTCTAAACCAGGAGAAGTTACACATGCTGTAAAAGATGCGATCGATATTGGCTACAGACACATTGATGGAGCTCATGTTTATGGTAATGAGAAGGAAGTTGGTGCTGCTGTCAAGGCAAAAATCGCTGAGGGTGTTGTGAAGAGAGAAGATCTATTCATTACCAGCAAGCTGTGGAATACCTTTCATAAACCCGAATTAGTTGAACCAGCCATCAGAAAAACGCTAGCTGATCTTGATCTTGATTACGTAGATCTGTATTTAATTCATTGGCCACATGGATTCAAAGAAGGTGGAGATCTTTTCCCTACAAATGCTAATGGTGTCCTCCAGTTGAGTGACGTAGATTACCTTGATACTTGGAAAGCTATGGAAAGCGTGCTGGCCAAAGGTCTGGCGAAAAATATCGGTGTCAGTAATTTTAATTCCGAACAGATCACCAGATTGATCAAAAATGCAACAGTTAAACCTGTTACAAATCAGGTAAATCAAGATTATCAAGAATAGTAATATTGAAAGAAACTTTTTGACAGTAATTAATTTTTATTAAATTTAATTATGTTAATATAGAAATTATTTTTCGAAATAGAATATTATTTAGGAAAGCCAGAAATTTGACAATACAAAGAGAAAAATCATGCTATTTTATCAACTCTTTTTTATTTATACTTGGTACATAGAGAATATTTATATATAGAAGAAAAAAGAAATAAAAATTATATAAAGAAATAAAAGAACAAGTATCTTCATTGACTTCTCTGGAGTCTGGACACTTTATTTTTGTATTATTTTTTAGGTCGAATGCCATCCATACTTGACGCAAAAAAAATTATCAGATTTTTGCAAGGAAAGAGGCATTCTTCTTACAGCTTACAGTCCACTTGGATCACCAGACAGACCATGGGCTAAACCTGATGATCCAAAATTGTTAGACGACAAGAAATTAGTTGATCTCGGAAAAAAATATAACAAGACTCCTGCACAAATACTTATTCGTTATCAGGTATGTTGTTATGACATTAATGTCTCAAGTGTACTTTACAATAAATTATTGAATTCATCCAATAAAAAATACTGGATATAATTTAATACTTTTACGTTATAATTAAAAGTGTATAATATTTGAAAAATTTATAATATGATTAAATTAAATTAATATCCGCTCAAATAAATTTCCAAATTAAACTTAATATAAACTTAATATATCTCCCAGGTCAAGAACAAATTGAGCTTATACTAGTTGTTAGAATATATATAAATTTATTATAATAATAATGCCGGTATATACGGACAGTTTCGACTTCACAGAGTCCTCAACAGCCGCAACCGAATTCTTAAAAATTAATTTAGTATAACGCCAACTTGTGATATTCTTCGCAATATACTAAATTAATTTTTAAGAATTCGGTTGCGGCTGTTGAGGACTCTGTGAAGTCGAAACTGTCCGTATATACCGGCATTATTATTATAATAAATTTATATATATTCTAACAACTAGTATAAGCTCAATTTGTTCTTGACCTGGGAGGTATATTAAGTTTAATTTATAATATGATCATTAATAATACACATTAACATAAAACTTTAATAATTATATTTAAATACTGAATCTTATAGGACTGTACATGTGAAAAATAACAATCAATAAGAAATTGCCTTTAACGGTCGAGCTGGATCTTAGGTGTTAATTTAATAATTATTTACAGGTGGATCGTGGCCATATAGTGATTCCTAAGTCAGTTACCAAGTCACGAATTGCTCAGAATATGGACGTATTTGATTTTAAACTTTCGCCCGAAGATATTGCTTATATTGACGGCTTTGATTGTAACGGAAGAATTTGTCCAGTGGAAGGGTAAGGATTTATCACTATAGTTTATCATTGTTATTTTAAAACATTTTATATATTATTACATAAGATATAGACTAAATACAACTTTTATTAAGTTATGATATATTAATATTTCTTTTTATTTTTTATTTTCAGGTCGAAAGCCAGTCCTTATTATCCATTTAATATTCCATTTTAAGAAATCAAAATGAGCAAATGTGAAAATATGATATATCTACGTGTCTTCTATCAAACTTTTTGTATGTCAATTTTTGCCAATCTATTTTTCAACATTATTAGTTTGTGCGTATATAAATAATATTTTTTTTTTATAATATTTTCTTATAATATTACTTTTATAAATGTTATACCAAAATACATTATATAGTTATTGTTACCGTTTTATGAAATATTAATTTTTTATATAAAATTCAATTATATAAAAATTTGTACACGTGTGGTGAAATAAAGTTTATATTGTATAAAATAACGTAGTGAGTCAATTATTATTTAATTGACAAATATTAGGTATTAATTATAATATATTATATTGCTATAATATCTAGTTTACTAACAACAGGAATTAATCTCGTAAAAACTACGTTGCTATCATCAATTTATGATCCCAAATGAAGTATTCTTGAAGATGCTGATTAATAAATCTTTTCCAACAGTCTAATACTACACAGTATGATTGTATTATTCTTATCACGTGTTTTTTTTTTACAAACCTATTTGCACATATTAATTTGCATATAAGTGACAAAAGTCACATATATGTTAAACATTTTATTGAGATCATATGGCAACGAGAATTGCTCTAATTGCACGACTGCCATGAGTGGCTGTGATATACCCCTAAAAATTCATTTATGGTATAATACAAGCGGCGCTTTATAGACTTTCATACAAGAACACCTGGTGATATGATGATATCTCATCATTATATACCATTTTGTATCACAGCAAACTTGGTCAAGAGAGTAGATTGAATTTTCACGACGCGATAATCGTTGCCTTCTTTAAATACAAGTGGAATATATGCAGACGTCTTTTTGTTTATCTTTGTTTTATTATCCTTATTGTTCTTTTATATTGAATGTTGTTTTATTTTTATTTCTATTAGTTATTACACAACGTTGAGTTTCTTTTGGTAGTTTTCCATTTTGGATGAACAAGCCGGACACGACTGTCGGGGGAAATAAATCTCTACTCTTTCTTTTGTGATGGATAGTTCTGATAAGGCGGGTCGTTCGTGCAAATTAGTGTCAGGTAAAGTATAAGCAAAAAAGAATTTATGTTCTGTGATAGCAAAAAGAATTTATATTCTTTGATAACTAGAACTGTCTCAGAATTCCTAGGAAAAAGAAGAGTTCTGATAGAGATACTGTTTGGTTCCTTTCTATCTAAAGGATGGATAACAAAAAGAAGTCAATACGAAACATTACATCGCTGATTAAATCGACGATTTCTTCGTGGCAATTTTTTATACCGTATACTTTTCTGTTACATATTACATATTGTTATAGAAAATGTCTATCGACATCGATAAAATAATTGTAAACACACCAAAAAGTTTTACAATGGCAATGAAGCGTCAGTTTATGACCTGGATACATGTGGAAGGCAAGTTTTTCTTTTACATTTGTCACGTACCTATGAGAACTTGTTTTTTTTATCTAAATGCAGCTTTTATGTGCAGAATTCATTGAATTTTTTAATTCTTAAAACTAGAAAAAGATAAAAAAGCAAGACTAAACCAAGATTAGTTAATCTATGTTGATAGAATTGGACATAAAAGATTGAAGTTAAAATGTATGTTGATAGAAATCAACAATAGAAGAAAATAATTTTGGTAGAGATAGAAATGGATACACAGGTATCTTTTATTCTTTTCTGATTTCTAAAACTACAATTAGAAAAGGATAAAGCATGCGCGATTTATATCTAACATGGTTCCTTTGTTTTTTTTGTCAATTCTTATATAAAAACAATTATACGCACTTAGTACACAAAATAATAAGTTATACACAAATCGATTTATAGATATATGTATATGTTTAATGAAAACATAGGAATGAATTAAACCACGAAATCCTTATTACATTTTATTATACTTTGATAAATATGCATTGAACATTATTTTATCAATTGAGATATCTCACTTTTATTTAAATTAGAATAGTGTATAATGGCTTTAATGTACACTGAGTGCGCATCAGTTCTACCAGTGAAAAACATTATAATAAGTCATGCATTGCTAAAGGACATAAAGGTATTCGATTTTAAACTGTCACCCGAAGATATTGCTTATATAGGTATACATATATTAACAATTTTGATTGCAACGGAAGATTTTGTCCAGCAGAATAATAAAAACTTATTATTAGTTTACTGTTATTTATAAAAATACTGTTATTTATAAAAATAATGTATATTTTATATCAAACATAAGATATATGGGATAATAATTGTATGGCATTGTGTTATAACATTTTTTTATTTTTTGTTTTTAATTCAATGCTAGTTCCTATTATTCGTTTAATATTCGATTTTAATGAAATAAGCAAGTAAGACTGCGTTATATCTATATATGTTTTGGTTCTATTGGCTAAACTTTTTACATTAAAATAATTTTCAAGCTACTATTATAATTTTTAAGTATACATATATAAATAATATTTTTTTATAATATATACATATAATTATAATAATAGTTTAATAAATATTAAAAATAAAAACATTATTATTATTTTTCAATTATCAATTTGCTTGTACAAAATTTAATTATATCAAAATATATACTCATATATACATACATATTAAGATAAAGGAATTTTTGTATTATCTAGGACATTAAAACTGGTTAATTTGATTGATTTCATAAATATTCGAATATTAATTATATTGCTATAATAAATCATCTTCGCAACCACAGGAGCAGCACTCGCAGAATTCATCGCTGTCTATTTCCGATTCCGAATGCAGCATTTCCGAAGATGTTGATTGATAAGCATCATCCAAAGATCTAACATTGCAGTCACATAAATGATGCTTGTGTTCCTCTTCGCAATCATATTTGCAAATATTAATTTGCTTGCATGCGGAAGGAGTTGTACACTCATCGCATGTTTTATTAGGATCACACGGCACTGAAGATTTCGTCAATTGTTTGGATGATTGCGGTACTAAAAATTTATACGTTTATTTACAATTGAATATTAATTTAAAATTATGTAAAATGATTTACATAAATTTTTGTTACATGGAGATTTAGATTTGGCTGAAGAAACTCTTCGGCAAGATTTGCAACAAATACAATCTCGCGATTTACTCGCAGTTGTACGTGATGCAGGATGGTCCAAAGGAATACAACATGAAACTGGTGGACATAATTTTTCACAGGTTTCAAATGATCTCTTTGATGTCTTCCCGTAAGCAGTTAACGTTACTGACGTTGCACACGAGCAACAAGTCTTCTAAAAAAATTAGGAAATATATATGTAGAACAGGAAGTATATATGAATGTTGTTTATTTTTAAAGTACTCACTCGTTTCTTATCTTCAAATTTTAATTTTTTCTTCGTCACATATTTATTACGTGTGTAATCTTCTAATAAACCGAATATTTTTTTACCAGTTTCCTTCGATTCCTGCATGTTTCCACTGTCACGCTGAAATTTCTTGCAGGATAGCAACTTGTTCATTTGTCGCCTGTACATGAGTTCTTTACTTTCAAGTTCTCTGATGTAGTTTTTCAATTTTAATTCTTCTTCAGCGAATTGACGGATTTTTTTCAGGCATATCAGATCTTCGGAATGAATGGAATGTAGGCTTGGTGTATCGCGTTTCTGTATCTCATTGCGCAATTCCGTTAATTTCTCTTCCATTTCTTTATTAGCCAGCTCCAAGGACTCCAGTTCCATGCCAGTTTCCTCCAGTTTAATATCCGCATCTATGATTTTATCCTGCAATAACAGAAACAATTGATTGTGAGTTCCTATCACACGCGAATTATAACTGTAATATTTGTTACTATTGCACGAATTGTTACTGTAATATTTAATTGTTACTTTACTTTTCGATTTTTGAGAAACACCGTTCAAAAAATTTTTTTCAATTTTTAAAAATTCCCATTCTTAAAATACATCCATTGAAAAATATTTCTGCGAAATTTTTAAAAAGATGATAAAATATAGGAATGGTTTGCTTATAAGACGCGCGATACCTGAAATATCGTTACTGTGAGTCGTACGAAGATCTATTTTGCTTTCTCATAAGTATCTATTGTAAATAGAACTTAGAACTGATGCACGACTTGAAAACTTTTGTTTGAATTTTGGAAATTGTGTTTGGAGATGGTGTAATGGTATTCATTTCGCGTAGAAATCGTGTACTCCTCGAGCAGGATATAGGTGGAATAAAAGTCGCTTCGCGTGGAAGTTGTGTCCTTAAGTGGGGGAGGGGGTCGCTTCGTGTGAAAGTCGTGCGCCCCTAAAGCAGGGGGAGAGGCATAGGGGGAGAGTCGCCTCGCGTGGGGGGGAAGTTGCGTACACTTTGGCAAATAAACATGTTATAGTATACTAAAAATAATAACTTTTATAACTTCATTCAAATATTTTTAACATGAACCTTCTTGCTTGTGAAAATCCATTTAAAGATATTTATTTAACGTCATTTGGAGTATTTCTGCCAAAATTCATGATAATCGAGCGTTGGCCGTTTTCGGAAGTTTAGCCAATTATCTACTTATTTAGTATAAATAAATTTATCAATATTAATTTGTGTTCACACAAAAAAGTCTCGTTTATACTTGAACCATCGCGTATATGTGTGGCGTAGATAATTTTTTAATTATATAAAAGAATTAAGACAAAAGATCCTCTCTCTCTCTCTTATATTTAAAAAAGTATTTTTAAGTTTAAATATTTTTGTGGCCTATATACATGGGATATTCCGGTCTTCTAATCTAAACCATAAAGGACCGATAATGCGCCAAGTTCAAAGTTCATAACTTTTTCGTTAAAACAAGCACACTGGTAAGATTTACCCGGATTCTTATCGTCGAATGTCAATCGTGCCGTACATGCAACTGTGCCGTTTCCTGTTGGAGGCTGTCGACCACGCTCTTTAATTCGGCGACGAGTCTGTCGGCAGGGTCTGACTGCGGTGCGAACGTATTCATGATCTCTCGTACTTTGTCATATGATCCATCACGACAATCTTGCTCGGCCTTCCACATATTGTATGCCATCAGAGCCGGGATGGAGCGTTCCATCGTGGCGACTTTGTTTCTGAGCTGCCGCTGACGACCGATCAGGTCACACCGACGTTCCGCGATCTCTGATGTTATGTTCGCCAACGGCGAATCAATTGCTTTTTCATAAAAAAGATTTATTCTTTTTTATTTAATTTTAACGGGAATATTTTTAATTATATTATAATCTAACTAAAATCAATCTTTAACCTCGTAAAGACACGCAGTTATTTATTTTCGGCAATAAAGTGGATGATAAATGAATGGTTGATTGAAGGTTACTTACTGGTTTTGGTCGACATTTCAATGGCTTTGTGGTTACAGTTGAAATATACGAAGATGAAATTGGTCGCACGGACGTCGGCGGTCCGGGGATTAATTTTTACTTGAGACTTTTGAATTAGAATGCAAAAGAATGGAAATAGCTAGTTGATTTTGCCGGAGAACGGCGTTGATTAGAGAGTAGAGGGCAGCTGGGAGTAGATAGATATGAAATTTGTATGTATATCTTCTGCCGACAACATCAGTACGATGATATTAATCGAAGAAAGTAGTATTTTATATATATCTAATGGCTCTCGCAGACGCGATTAATGCTTACCACGCGGCAGAAGTTAGCATAGAAGTCAATTATTTTTTCGCTTTTATGGAAAAACGATAACTTGATTGGCTCTCGCACCATTTCCTGCCGCGCGATAAAGTGTTACCGTATTCTGCATGCGGAAGAACTATAAAATGTCGGTATTTTCTGTCGCGAAATAATGAATGTGAGTCGATCTTCGTGGCTTGTGCATTGAGATCGACATGTAAAACAAAAGACAATTCTGATATTCGTACTTTCAGCAATTTCCCGGCATTTTCATTAACTAACTTCACCTCTTTTAATTAAGTTTTAGGGTGATTCTTGTCAACGATATACAGAATGATATAAATGTTTTACTGACCGTTTGATAATTGTGAAAACAAAGGACAAAGATTATCGGGATATCTGAAATCTGGAGCAGGCCACGTCCGGCCAAACGAGCCACAATGTTATCACTCGGCTCATTCAGAAGTATAAACAAATTGAATCAATTCTAAGTAAAATCATAACGTTTAGAGTTGTAATTTTATGTATACTTTAAAACGCTATGTACAATTATCATTTCGTAAATATATATCTACGATTTCTGCTAATCCTTATGAGCGTTCTACAATATAAGCCGCAAGTTAAAAGTCAGAAGTTGGAAACTAGTTGTAAGTTTGTAGTGCATCATAAAGTAATCATAAGTCAGTAGTCAGTGAGTGCAGATTGCCAAATTCTCTTCTAAGCCTTCTACAATAAGCCACAGGTCATTAATTAGAAATCAGAAGATAGAAATGGACCAATCACAGTCGTCAATTTTTAGTTTCTGACTTCTGATTTATGACTTATAGCTTATTGTAGAAGGCCTATTCCGGTTTAGAACTTATGATTACGTTACGACTGACCAATCAAAAAACAATGTGTCTGACCATTTTGAACGAAAGAACTGACTTTTTGAGAACTGTTGTGTCATTGAATCACAAACACGTTCGGCTATTTTCCTTATCGCAACTTTTAATTTTTCGGCAATTACAGATATATTTTTGTATGACACATATTTATCGCGTTGCATGATCTAGCTTTCTGCTCAATCATTGAAATTCATACTTTATACGGAAATTAATTCTACGCGTGAAAATACGATATAACGAAAATGTTTATGTATCTTTAGATACGTGATGACTATGTATATTAAAGATTGCCATTTTTCTGATTGACTGAAATGTTATGATTTAATACGACTTATTATGGGTGCAAATTTCTTAAAACTTAAGACTTAAGATTCGAACTTACGCGTCTAGTGACTTCTGACTTTTAACTTGTTACTTATTGTAGAACGCTCATTACTAATAACAAGAAACTATATCTTCGTAAAGATTAGCACAACATATAAAGTTAAGCATTCTACTTATTCTCACAAATTTTACGAGAACAAGTTATGATTCTGCTTATTGATTTACATATCAAGCATTTAGGAATATTTATTGTAACTAATTTGTTGTAGTAACACAATAACAAGCGGATGCACAACTCTATTTCATACAATTCGTATTGTTGCAAACGACATTCCACTTCCATCTCATATATGTATATTTTTTTCGTTTGACAAAGATACACTAAAATGTCGGTTACTTCTGAATAATAACATTTTACGTTACTAAAAGAAGGAAAGATTTGTCTTTAAAGAATGAGCATTTTCACAGTAAACTGGAGGAGCCAACAACGCGCCGAGACGATGACGACTTCTCTCTGGTAACTGTAACAAGCATTTCCCTTCAAGAGAGCACAGGTAGCACCTTCACTGGATCAGTCTATACGAATTGGGAAGAGAAATTCGCTTGTCGCTCACTACAGGGTCGAGGCCGCGTTTTCAGTTATCGAAAGAGAAGAACTCACTTCGGCGATGGAATTTTCAGCGCACCAGCTGGCGTTTGTCCGCGTCACGTTACTTCATCAATCATTCGTCGTAATACAGGTTGAACAAGTGTTAACACATTTTTATTTTTAATAAATTGAAGTAACTTCCATAAATTAATCTGCAAAAAACGTGTTTACAATACAAAGTACATTATTTTATCTCTTCACTTGCTCTCGACGAGATAAAATAAGTGAATGCGTAACAAATTAATGTCTTTTTTTTCGGAATATAAATGAGAAAAACTAGAGAAACACTCTCTTTCTTTCTGTTACAGGCGATTCTCGGCTCGTCTTCGTCTGGCCGCAGAAAGCCAGCAGGAGTCGACTTTCAAACGTCCTTGTACCTCTTCTACGTGGCATCCTAGTTGGACTATTGTTCGTGGACGCTCTTCATCTATGGCCTGGAGAATTCTTACCCACGTGTCTACCATCGACCATGCCAATTACTTTACCACCGGTCAAATGTAATGTTATTGAGCCGCGTTGGTACGATAATAACTGAGTTTCGGCTGCATCGCCTAATCGTGTTTGCATAAATATATATTTGTGATACCGCAACTGTGATTTTATTAAAACACTATACAATCTTTGATAAAAAAGATTATTTCGTTTGGAGGCCTTTTGATCTTTTTAATTGCATTTGGAATTTGTTTTACTTGCGAAAAAAAGATATATTTGAGAAACAGTTTCGCGCGATTTCTAGTTGAATGAAGAGAAATTTAAAAAGTTATATATACTCTTGGGTCTCATAATCAAAGTCTGTTTATATTATGTGTGGCAGATAATAATTTATTAACATATCCGACGGCACGCTATAAAATAGTAACTATGATTGAACATGTAAGTTAAAAGATAAAACTAAACTTCAGACAAAAACATTGATAATACGAGTTTTACGTAATTTTTGAAACGATTGTAAAGTTTGTTTATATTTGTTGTTCCACACTTCTGTATTACATGCGATGATTTGCATTATCAATAAAAGAAATATTTTTTACATTTGTGTGTGCCGTGTCATGATAATGTCGCAATCAGTTTATAAAATAAATACTATATATATGTGTGGTCATTATCAAAACATGTGTTTTTAATTTCTGCATTTATTTCGACAAAATGGCGAATTTCTCAAGATACATTGAAATTCATTTATTTTCATATAGAAAGTACGCTAAAGCAGCTGTACGATAGTGGAACAGTTTTTCTCGAAAATACAGGCAAGAACAAACGCTTATTTATATAATCGGCACATTATACATTACTATAAGTGAAATTAATTACTATTCATAATATACACACATGAATTATGTTTTGAAAGGAACAAAGCAAGAGAAGACAGAGAGTTTATGTAATGTGTGTTACCGGAACCGCTTTAGTAGGAAATAATTATAATTAAGCGTGATGGAGGTAATTAAGATGAAGGTAATCGCAAAAGTGAAGTTTTATGTGTATATGTATACTTTACATCTCGTAAGGTAATAAAAATAGAAATTACATCTTTATATGTCTACATTGTTTACAAGAAGGAAAACCTTCACTGCGTTGATTTATAATAGCATACGTCGCATTGTCAAATACAAACGTTTTTGTTCTACTTTGTTAGATCGATCATAGATATAAATCGGTGATTTATACAATGTTTCATTTTTCTGTCATATTAAGAATCTAACAGACATATTAAGATAAAGTATCCGTTTCAGTTATCCAATCACGTGAGTATTTATTTATCACTGTTAGCTTGGAACAGAGAAGAGAGCACAAGTATTACTCGTGATTTCCACACTCTCATTCAGTAACTAAATCTTGAATTGAAAAGAAGCTCTCGTAATTGTTTCTTGTTATAAATCTAGGATTTATATAGACGCACTATTGCTCATTTTAACGTATTTAACATTATTTGACAAAATTAATCTAAATTTAAATTACAAAACATAAATTATACACATATAATAAATGCAAAAGCAACGATATTTCAATCGGAAGTCAAAAGTGATAAGAGATTGCGGTGTTGCAGAAATTTTTACGTAACAAACAGTAAGTACCAAAAACTCGTATTTTTATGTATTATGCTGTGCCAAAAATTAAAATTAAAATTAATAGTATTATACCATTATATCTTATATTATTCTGCTCTTCAAAAATAGATAATTTTCAAGAGAATATATAATTTCGTTAAAAACGGTCATAATACGGTGATCTAAAATTATTTCGATTATTTTAATAGAATGTTTAACATAGATATATTTGAATGAGTTTTATTTGAATGTTATAATATCTAAGGGTGCGTTCCGAGTTATACATGAAACACATAATGTATTATATTATTCTTCTTTATTATTCGGTGAACAACAAAGATAAATAATGCTTCATGCGCTTCATGTGTAACTCGGAACGCATCCTAATATACATCTGTTAACTATTTATAAGGTGCCTGAAACCTGAGCCGAATAAGGCCCACCTAATTTATTTTATTTTTTTTAAATTTTATTTATAGGGATATTAAAATAAACTTTGTAAAAATATATAAAATCTTTATTCTATTAACTAACAAAAAATGTATATACATTTTTCATGATAAAGATTTTTAAATAAGCAAAAAATTTGTTTTTTAAAAATTAGATTTTGGGCTTTATTACATGCATATGTATTTAACAAAGCCCAAATAACAAATCAATGAAAAATAAACGTTTTTTTAAATAACAAATATTCTTTGGTAATCGTCTTTAACATTTTCTTACTTTATAGGTAACTTTAACTCAATAAATTTTAACTTGAAGATATTAACAGCATTGAAAATCTGTATCTTGTGATGTAAGTCCCATGTCACTGCGTCTGGCTTAGCGCCGAGACACTATCGTGTCTCCAGATACATAACTCTTGATACCATTTACTTAGTGAGAAAGCTAATATCAAATCGATATCGAAACACATCGACGCGGTGCATGCGTATAAGCATCAGTTTATTCTTGTTTCTATCAAATATAAAACAAGGAAAAGAGATGCTTACAAGCACTGTAAGCGTAAAACGAAACTCATTCAAGTACACAAAACCGAGCAAAGCTGAATGATATAACCTTACATAACTTAATATGTTCGAAAACCTACCAGGAAGCTTTGCATGGATTGTGCGACAATATGTTCTGTTTTATCAGCATATTTCATAATATATTTGCTAATTATAATTTAGTATAACAAATATTACATTAAATTTGGTACCTTTTCGTTGACAAAATTTGTATCAAGCTCAGCCGAGCGGAAACCATAGGAGTATATGGCAGGAACATCTTATAAGGCCCAGGGACCATTTTAATGGGCCTTATTTGATGAGTGTGTCGTTCCTAAACAATATATTTATTCTAAAAAATTGGTATATATATTAATTATTTTTACTGATTAGAATAAGTTGAATAATATTATAGTATGTTATAATAAATTACAAAATAACGTATATTTAATAAACTTTTTCAAATACTTTCGATTTATTGCAGCGGATTTTTATAAAAACGACAAAACATCCATTTCGTCACAAAGTTCACATTATACTAAAAAAATCGAGTTGTTGCCAGTTCTGTTTTTCTAGATTTATAAGCGGTAATTTCAAAAGTGGGCCTTATTTTGTACTAGGCTTTATTCGGCTCAGGTACCTTATTTGTAAAATTAATAGCACATTCCTTTGGAAAAATGTCATTTCACAGCTTTCAGGGTGTTTCCAAAATACCGCCCAGTATTCATATAGCGTTATTCATGATAAAAAATTAAGTCGATTACTATTAGGAAATTTTTTTCCACCATGCTTATCGAAGCAGTTATTATCTTTACTCGATAATAACTGCTTCGATAAGCATGGTGAAAAAAAAATTTCCTGTAAACTGGGTGGTATTTTGGAAACACTCTATACCACATAAAAAGAAAAATATTATTACACAATGTTTGAAAAAATTCAATAAAATTATCTTTACATATATTTTTTAATCTTTAATATTATATCAATTTTAATAAAAGGAACGTTAGCTTTAACCTTTAATATATACAATACTTTGCGTTATATCACACTTAAAAGCACGAACTTTAGGTAGTATAATTTGTTAACTTTGAATATCACACAAAATATATTTTTAATATGGAATATATGTATATTTTCTGATATATGCATCATTGTCTTTATCTAATTGGACGTATCTCTGATAAACATTTTTAATCAATGTATACTATGAAAATCTTGTCAGCATTTTTTTTCGGTGAGATATTAATGTAATTTCATTATTTTTGTAAATCTAATAAGTATAAATTTACTTAATAAATATTTATTTGAAATGTTCACAGATTATAAAAATGGATTTCATCTTTTTGGCACTATGCACTCTTTGCATTGCTGTGATTTTCTCAATTTTATTGATGATGTACCATCAATATATTATTCGACAAAAACTTAGAAACATTCCTGAAGTCAAGGGACATCCTTTCATTGGTGTTGCATATGAATTTATAAAGTTATCTAATTATGGTATAAAGAACTTTATATATATTATTGTTCCTTTATATATTATCTATTAAAATGTCGTTCACATACATATATTTGCATAAAGCTCAAAATTAAAGTTTTTTACTTAAACTCATATAATAAATAGAAATAATAATTAATAAATTATTAGTACAATAGTTAATAAATTTAATTATTGTTGCACATGTAGGTCGCACAAAACTGTTTCTATCATATATAGATAAATTTAAAGAAGGGATATTTATTTACTGGCTTGGAACCAAACCTTTTATTAACGTGTATAAACCAGAATATTTGGAGGTAAATAAAATTTATTTACTAACAGAAAATAATATATTTATATTTTTTTATAATAATTAACGTATTAGAAGTAGTGATTTTTATGAAACAGTATTTTTAATACTATAATAAAACAAAATATAACATTTTCGAGCAACATAAAACAGTGCTCATAAATTCATTCTTAAGTTGGATTTTAATTTAATAATAAATGTTAAAAGAAAGAAGAAAGATTGTTGCAGTAAGATTTTTATCGCCTCTATTCTTTTTGATATGTACACGGTAAAAAATAAAATATCAATTTTAACTCAAAGACGTTGATCGAGTGGATCTTCTGAGACATGCAAAAATGTTAATATTAACACAAAAATGTTAATTTTAACGTTTTACATGTCTCAGAAATTCACTCAATGTCTTTTAGTTAAAATTCACATTTTATTTTTTATAGTGTAGTAATTAATCTTTAGTACACACAAGAATTTTCCGATTCTTTAAACGCGATGATTTGTTTATGTTCCGAGTTAATTTTCATTATTTTTACAACAATTACAAGACTTAATGAGTCAAATACAAATTGAACAAATACAAGAATTAATGAGTGAGTCTTTATAAACTTTGATATCTCTCTCTTTTAAAAGGTGTAATATTTATAAAGTTGTGTAAAAAAAAAGAAATCATTATTTAGCGAAGTGCCTCTGAAATTTCGAAGAAAGAAAATGCATGGGAAAACACGAATAATATAGTAAGCTAATTTAGGGGAAAACGTCACATTTAAGCCTTTATTCTTGACTAACTTCTTAATGTTATTGGATTAATTAACGTAAAAATATTATTTGTATTCTAGAAATCATTCTTTATTCATATTAAATTAAATTTTTTTAAACATATTTTTTTTTAGCAAATTGGATTTATTGTCACAATGATTATATAATGGAGATTTATTATTAACAAAAGAATCTACAAATTTATTAAAATTGCTTTTGGTAAAATAATTAATTTACCAAATTAATAATCGTAGTATATCCTTTTGATGTTTATAACTAATGAAATTGGTTGTAGCATAAATAAGTACTGAAGTATTATACATTATGTCAGTAAATGATACGTTGCATCTTATTTCTAAATATTGTTAGATTACGTCTTTTTCAAATATTTACAGCTTATTTTTCCTAGCACCGTAAATATCACAAAAGGAGACTCTTATAATCTGCTGAAACCTTGGTTGGGCAATGGACTTTTAACATCTACAGGTAAACGCAAAACAAAATCATATTACATATCTTTTTACATTTAGGGTTTTACACAAAATAATTTACAGCTTATTTGCTATGGTCTATACATAAGGTAAATTAATACAATTTTGAACATGGTACAATTTCAAACAAAATAAAATAAAAAGTAAAAAAAAATAAAATTGTATTAGTTTGGTCAAATAAAAAGGTAACTGGCGTTGTAGCAGCTATACTCTCGGCATGTTATCGAAAAGTTTGTTATACATATTTGGAGTTGACTACATATACGATACCATGTGTAACCTGCGAGTTATGTCATTTGTTTTTAAACAGAAATCGTTATAAGCAGCAAAATAAATTGTTTTATCTGGCAGGGTACATTTTAATATTTCTCGAAATGGTTTCTGAGATAGGAATCTGATAGGAATTATTCAATTATTCTTTAGATTTTTATTATGTTTTTTTTAGAGAAAACGCAATAAATTCAGAGAAATGGCTTTTTTATTGAAAAATTCGTCTGGGTGTATTAGGGCAAACATAAAATATCTCTAATGTTTCAAAAATTAAACCTATAACAAAATTACGTTTTCTTGAACTTTGTAATTTTGTAATTCTATTTTTTGCGATATTTTTACTACCTAAGTGCACTATATTTTAATATTGTTTTAGGTAAACAATGGTTCCATGATAGAAAACTCATCGGGCCAACGTTCCATTTCAGTATATTAGAACAATTTGCTGTGATTTTGTCTGAAAAAGCAGAGATCCTCACAAAGTGCCTCGAAAGAAAAATAGAAGATAATCCAGAGAAAGCCATTAATATTCTTTCTTTTATAACCAATGCTACTCTTGATATAATCTGCGGTAATGTAGCACATTTTTAATTATGATATACAATATTTAATTATAATGTTGTTTTTTTTAATAAAAAAAGATGATTGTTGACACAGTACACTTTATGCTGTAAATTTTATCAGTCATTTTATGGATAGTAAACGAAAGAACTTAATTTAATATTAGTTATTATCTTGCAGAAACGGCAATGGGTGTAGATATACATGCTCAAGAAGTTGTAACCAAATATATATCAACAGTACATCAGTCAGTTTCTAAATTTCGTATAATGTTATTATTAGCAAAATAGTTAATAATTCATTACTGAATATATAATCAAGAAGTAAACTTTAATGATTAATTATATATGTAATTTACGTACGTTGAACTTCAGTTGTATTTTTAGAGCCTCTGTGTTAATAATGAATCGAATAATTCAACCGTGGTATTGGATCGATTGGATATACTTTTTATCACCTGCAGGGAAACAGTTTAAATCAAGGCTTAATATATTACATGAATTTACAAAAAAGGTATACTATAGGGACTCTAATAATATTTATATATCTATATTTAAAGAAATTTAAAAACAATATCTAAATTTATTAATTTTTTTTCACATTTACTTCATTGAAAAGAATTTCATGTTTACATGAATAATTCTAGTTAACATGATAAATTCTAGGTGATAAGTAAGAGAAAATTTGAGCGACAGTCGCAAAACACAAAACTTGAAAATGAAGATAGTGAATTTAATATTGGTACGATTATAAATTTTAATTACGCACCATATGCCATACGTATATTTTTATTTTTTAAATATTCCCTATCTAATAAAATTTATTGTATCAGGTAAGCGAAAAAGAGAAGCATTTTTAGACTTATTATTAGATCAAAACGAGAAAGATAACACTCCTTGGACTGATGATGAATTGAGAGCGCAAGTCGATACATTTATGTTTGAGGTAAGATGTTCGTAGTTAAAATTTAACATTTCTAATTTACAATATAAAATTTTCTCTTATCAGTTTGGCAACATACCTTTGTAAGTATTGTTAAGAGTACGTATAAAATAATAATACAAAATAATAATATAAAATGATAGGGACACGATACAACTGCGGTTGCCATAACCTGGGCATTATTTCTGTTGGGCAATAATCTCGAGCATCAGGAAAATGTTCACAAAGAACTCGAGGAAATTTTCAGAGATTCAGAGGTACCAGCCAATACAAAAGAACTGTCGCAATTAAAGTATCTCGAAAGAGTTATAAAAGAGACACTTCGAATATTCCCAAGCGTACCTTTAATTATGAGGGAATTAGTAGAGGATGTAAAAATAGGTAATTTGTTTACTAACTAAAAAAATGATTAAGGAATTTATCAATATATATGTATAATTTATAAAACAGTTAAATATAATGCAAAACAATTTAAAAAAAATAAGAAATAATATTTATACATACATTTAAAGTATCTCGAAAGAGTTATAAAAGAGACACTTCGAATATTCCCAAGCGTACCTTTAATTACGAGGGAATTAGTAGAGGATGTAAAAATAGGTAATTTGTTTGCTAACTAAAAAAATGTTTAAGGAATTTATCAATATATATGTATAATTTATAAAATAGTTAAATATAATGCAAAACAATTTAAAAAAATAAGAAATAATATTTATACATACAATTTACTTAAAAATTATGCAAGTGCAGTATGTTTAAAAATCGATGATGTAACATTATAATAATTTCACATAAAACTTTAAGTTTCAGATCATAAAAAAACGTGTAGGCAAAGACAATGTTTTATGTAGACAAATTTGCAATCCATTACTTAAAAATTACGCAAGTGCAGTATGTTTAAAAATCGATGATGTCACATTATAATAATTTCACATAAAATTTTAAGTTTCAGATCATAAAAAACGTGTAGGCAAAGACAATGTTTTATGTAGACAAATTTGCAGTTGATATATGTATATTAATTTATTTCTTCTATTTTAGATAATTATACACTTCCGAAAGGTATCTCAGTCGTGTTAGCGATTGTATTAGCACATCGAAACCCAGCAATTTGGCCGGACCCATTGAAATTCGATCCGGATCGTTTCCTTCCAGAGAACTCGAAGAATAGAAATCCGTATGCTTATGTTCCGTTCAGCGCTGGACCGAGAAACTGTGTAGGCCAAAGATTCGCTCTACTCGAAGAGAAAATCGTGTTGACTGCAATTCTCAGGAAGTGGAGAGTGAAAAGTGTGAAAACATTAGACACGATCGAGTACGGCGGTTCTCTCATTTTGCGTCCAACTGAAAAAGTATTTATGCATTTTACGCCGAAGAAATAAACAGTTTCAGCAAATAAGATAGATTAGGGTACTGTAAATTTCAGAGTACCATGGATCATTGATCTTAGAGAAAGAAAGATATTTAATTTATAAAGCTGATCATATATGTTTATACAATTGTTATTTTAACGTTTATATTTTGTATATACATAGCAGTGATTCCTACTAAAAAAAATCATGTCACAAAATTACATAATAAAATTATGTAATTAAAATATGTAAATTTTAAAAGTCACATAATGACTTTCTTCTATTTCTACAATATTATTTAATTATTTAAAATTCAATAACAATACAATCATATAGTAAATGAAATTATTTCTAATGTCATATGATTTTTCAATATTATAATGAATACTATAAAAATATATACTTAATAAAACATTATAATTTTGTCGTATGGTCCATCGCACGTTAAGCAGTTTTTGCGATATCGTTTTATCCAAATACGGTGAACGCTAAACTCACGTTATCTTTTTCTGTATAATTAATTAATAAAAGGATAACGTGACTTTGGTGTTCACTGTATCATAGATAAACGGTATTGTAAAAACTCCCTATTCTCAATAGGCCATCCATATATTGTACGCCATTATAGAATCCAGATGAAGCTTTATACGAGATGAACTTTGTTTATGAACTTCCAGTGTTGGGCGATCAGATCGCATCAACGTCTAAATGTTATTTTAATCGAAGTGACATGTGGATTAAACTGTTTCGTGTATTTTAGATTATTATAAAAACTTATGGTTTTTATTTGATGATGTTAAAATTCGATTAAAAGCATGAGAATTTCAGGAAGGTGTTATAGAGAATATAGAAGTAGAAACTAGAAAAAGAAAATAAACCGAGAAGAGAAAGTAAATTTACAAATGTTTATTTCGAAATAGAACTTAACATTTCTCTGTTGCATGAGGCATTCTAATTGGACTGTTGTTGCATGGATGCTCTTCATTCTTTTGACCTGAGATTTCTTATTCACATTCCCAGTCAGAAATGACAATGGAATCGACACCGAATCGATTTGATGATTTCGACGTCGAATTCACATCGAATCGATATCGATTTTCCATTATCATTTCTGACTAGGATGTACCGCAGATTACGTCGATTACTCTGCAGTTGGTCGAATGTAACATTATCGTTATGCAATGTTAGTGTAAGAATAACTGACAATGAGTCATCGATAGAATTATCTAATCATGCCTAATCATGTTTGTATCAATATATGTTATTTTGCAATATCGAGGCTATATTTAACCAACTGCTTCAAGCATTCACAATCTTTAATAAAAATCAAATCATTGAAATTAGCTCGTCCGGAAACATCCTCTAAATTGCGTTTGTGGAATTGTTTTTACTTGGGAGAAGAGACTTATACTTTCAACCATGAAGAGAGTTTTAAATAATTCAACGATGTGACAACAATTTCCATGATTTAAATTAAAAAAATTTATTCATGCAATTGGTGCTTATATTAATTAGTTTGTTTATTATTATATTAAATTCATTGACTGTTTAGCGAAATTCAGAATGTTTAGGTTGGTGCAATTGGTATTATATAATATTGTTATTTTTACTTGTCCATACTTCACCGTCCTTTATATTACACAAAAAATTATGTAATCATATTTTACGTGCGTCTTTATGATAAAAATATAATTAGATAAATCTCTTTATACACACTAAAAAAAATGTGCCGAATTTAACATAACTGCATGTCGCAGACAGTCCACTCAAATTTTTGGGTTAATTTAATACAAGATGAACATATGTTTAGTGTAAGAAAATAAATACAAAAAAGATACTATATTGATACAGTTAGCAAGCAAACCGTGGTAAGGGCATTTTTTTTTTTCGAAAAATAAACATTTATGATGTGTTAAATTAACACGTATTTTATTCATTTATCTTAGAATTTACGTTTTAAAACACACTTTTTTTATGTTACTTTGTCCATTTACTCATAAATTGTGTCATTTTGAGTCCACTAAGAAACGTTGAATATCAATTTCACACAAAATATTTAAACAACATAATCACATTATGTTAAATTAACACTCGATATAAACCTAACCTATTAAAAAATTCAACTCAAACTGTTAACACAGACGTGAGAGGATCGTTCCTAACATAAATACGCAATTTTTTTTACTGTGTACATATGGCTATGTATAAACTGTGCAAAATTGTTTGGATAGATTAAATTATTATTAAATAAAATTAAATTAGTTAATTGGGCAAAGTTAAATTGGACAATACAATTTTTTTATGTTCTTTTAGAAAACACGATAAAAATGGTTAGAAAATATAAAAGAAGAGGCTGTCGATTTAAGGGTAGGTATGTATGTGTCTGACTCATGAAGTTATTTCTAAAAATTTTTATATAACCCCTATTCCGGGGTTATTTTTAAAAACCAAATCAATATTTATGAAAAATGCTCAATAAATCTTAAAACATATATTATCTCTTAATTATATAAAAAAGTTGAGATCAAAAATCTTACATTTTGATGTATTTGTTACTATTTGAACTTTTGACCGGGTCTTTCCTATATCAGTCTGTGTTATCACAATACGATTTTTATAACCAAAAAAATGTATTAATGAGCGACTTTTGGTCGTGGTAACGATAGCCGTTTTTCCACGTGCATTATTAAATTTAAATATATAGTTACTTCCGTTTTATCTCATTAATTATAAAAGCGCGGTTTACAATATAGTATTTTCCTGATTGTTGGAAATACTGAGGAACTCAAATATTTAAACTCAAGTGCGCAATTTGCGGTTTAGTCATCCAATTGTTGCATATTATGGCAAGTGTTGGGTAGAGAAGGGATATCGAGATACCGTGAAGCATGATTTTTACATGCAATCTCATTCAGTGATTAAACCTTGACTTAAGAGGAACGAAAGTTTCCATAATTATTCTTTGTTATAGAATTTATAGGAACATTATTCTGTTGTATATCTAATTGCACGTTACATTATTCAACAAAATATGATTTAAATTTAAATTGCAAAGTATTAATCAATGTCAAAGAAACAATATTTAAATCAAATGCCAACGGTATATTAATAAGAAATTTCAGTGTTGCAGTAATATTCACTTAAAGAAACGGTAAGTACAGATAGTTCATATATTTTTTAAGTATTATGTATGCGTGAGAGCGTGCGTGCGTATAATTAATATTGAGATAACTTTTTAACAATATCAACATAATCTCATAGTAATGTCAATGTAGTCTTACTTTTGCAAATCTAATAAGCATGAATCTGTTTGATAAGTTATATTTATTTGAAGTATTTGCAGATTACAATGGATTTAGTCCTTTTGATACTGTGCACTCTATGCATCGTTGTGATTTATGCAATTCTGCCAACAGTGCGTCATCATTATGTCATTCGACGGAAAATCAAAAACATACCTACACCTGTTATTGGTTCGATGTTAAAGTTAATGAAGTTATCAGAATATGGTAAAGAACTTTACACATAAGATTTTATCATTATTTTTCTATACAATGCAATTTACATATGTATATCTACACCTGTTATTGGTTCGATGTTAAAGTTAATGAAGTTATCAGAATATGGTAAAGAACTTTATACATAAGATTTTATCATTATTTTTGTACACAATGCCATTTACGTATGTATATTTGCACACAGCTTAAAGCTCGGTTATCTCGAAATGTCATATTTGTTGCATGTCAGAGACAACAACCGACTTGCAATAAGTTAATTGTTACATATAGCTTCATTTCTCAGTTTTTTCTTAAAAACGTAATTTCATAATTCTGAAGTCTGTAAAATTTGTGACAAACTGAGATATCTGTTCAAACTTCAACATGTTACATATATTAAAAACGTAATTTCATAATTCTGAAGTCTGTAAAATTTGTGACAAACTGAGATATCTGTTCAACACGTTACATATATGTGGAAGTGTAAAATATAATTCCAAATTATATATTTCTCAGATGTCAAAAAATGTTGCAGTGTTTTGTTATTATAAGAAAAATGAAAATAGCTATACGGAGCAATTAATCTGTGTATTATTTTTTGTCTCTAACATAATTCAACTAATACAGCGTCTTGAGATAGCCAGCTCTAAAATTAAAAATTTACTATTTAAATATAATATATGTATATATATATATATATTATATAATTATATTTAAATATATATAGTAATTAAATTAATAATAATATATTATTAATATAATAATTAATAAATTTAATCATTAGAGCACTTGAAATTGCATACAAGGATAATGGAAAACTATAAAGAAGACGGACTATACGTACAATATATCGGAATCACACCTTATGTTAACGTGTTTAAGCCAGAATACTTGGAGGTAAATAAAATTCATTTACTAACAAAAAATAACTTTTATTATATTTTTTATGATAATTATTATAATACATTATTCAAGTACGTAGAAACAGCATCTTTTTGCATTCTAATAATATTTATAAAATAATAGTTAAGTACAAGACTTTTAATTTAAAAATAATATTTATGTAATACAAAAGAACTAGTAAGGCTAATTCTACAATGTGCTTTTTGTTTCTTGTTTGATGAGCCACTAAATTTTAACATAAATTAATATGCCCAAATAAGGATATCTCGACTTTGTAAAAAAAAAATTGTAGAAAAATGTTCCAAATATGAGTATGTTTGGAAATTAATAATTTTAAAAACTCATACACTTTTGTACCTGGCAACCAATTTCCCTGAGTATTGCAATAATTTATAAATAAGATTAATAAGTTTGAATAAGACAATTTTTTTCTTATCTTTCAATGTGCCTGTCATTTTGTAATACACTTTGTGTAATTCAAATTTATATAATTTATATAATCAAAATTATATAAGAAAGTAATGTTTTTAAAGCAGGAAATTAATTTAAAGCTGAAAAATTTAATTTTATATAGCAGAAATGAAACATTATTTTTTAAACTTTTTTTGTTTATAACTTTTTTACGAGTAACGTTCGACGGTTAAAATTTTCTCAAGATCATTCAGGATCATGATCTTAACAACATATGTTATGTACAAGATATAAATCATTGAGAGGTTCCTCTAATCTACATATTTATTCAAATTTAATCTGCATATTGGTTATCAAGAGGAATGTTCAAACTTTAATTTGAACTTTTGTTCATATCAGTATAATGATTTTTATTTGAGGTATCGCTACTCAAATATATCAAAAACTTGTGCTGACATTTAGTGGTCTGCTTTTTTTTGTTAATGATTGTATATTTTATATTACAAAAATTTTTTATACAGTTTTTTATATTATTGGATTATGCGATTGTATCCTTTTTTAAATATTTACAGCATATTTTTCCCAGTACCGTAAATATCACAAAAGGTGATTTCTATGATACGATGAAACCTTGGTTGGGCAACGGACTTTTATTATCTACAGGTAAACGTACAATAAATCACATATTTATTTTTCTCATATATTTATTACGTATTTATTTTTTTCTCACATTTAGAATTCTATTGAAAATAAATTCCTGCTTATTTTGAAGCTGGATATGTATTCAAAATACTTTTATTTAAAAAAACAGTATTTGTAAAACAATTGTATTTCGACAAAGCGCATAAAAATATTTTGTATTTCATATTTCACGAAACATATAAAAGTATTTTATATTTTGTATTTCCAGTACTAAAATTGACAATAATTAATCTTTTTATTTGAATTACAATATTAAAAAAATTTGTATCTTTCTATTTTAAATATTAAATACGTAATATCTTTCATGTGCTTTGTTGAGATACATACAAAATAAAAATATAACACTTTTTAACAAAATGTAGCTATTCGGGTTGTCAAAATAATTTTGAATCTTGTAAATTACACCAATAGAGAGAAGTAATGAAATTTACACGTCGAAGTATTTCCTCGTGAATTTGTAAAAGTTTCTCTTTATTTTTTGTGATATTTTTATAACTTTATTTTTACATATCATATTACATTTTAATACTGCTTTAGGTAAACAATGGTTCCATGATAGAAAACTCATCGGGCCGACGTTCCATTTTAGTATATTAGATCAATTTGCTGTGGTTGTATCTGAAAAAGCAGAGATTTTGACAAAATGTCTTCAAAAAGAGATAGAAAAGAATCCAGGAGAAGCCGTTAATACGTTTCCTTTTATTATCAATGCTGCTCTCGATATTATCTGCGGTAATGTACCATATTTTTAATTACAATATGTATACAATTATAATATTTTGCGAGAAAAAATGTGTTGTTTGTTGTATATTTTTTGCTGCACTAAATTTTATCAATTATTCTACGGATAGGAAGAAAAATATAAAAATATGTTAACTTAAATTGTATCATAGCACTATAGGCGACATGATATGATAAATACTTTGTCAATAATTTTAATTATTATCTTGCAGAAACAGCAATGGGTGTAAATATACATGCTCAAGAAGCCGTAACCAAATATACGTCAACAGTACATCTGTCAGTTTCCAAAATTTTTATAATGCTATTATACTGTTTAATGCTATTTCCAACACAAGTGCGAATAGTTACTTTCCATGCATTTTTGCTTGCCGAATATAAATCTGTGTATTAGACAAAATTATGTTACAATCTCAAGAACAATGGCATCAAAATGACAAATTTATAAAAGTTTTTATAAAATTGTGAACAAACAATTATTTGTTAAAATTTTTTTAATGTAAAAAGATTAATTTTTAAAATTTCTCTTTTGCATTTTGTTTTGTTTTGATGTGTTTTTTATTTTTATGATATGATGATATAGTAATTTAGTAATAATTTTTTCTCACATATTATATAAGAAAAGCATTATAAATACATAAAAAGTCATTAAAACGAAATGCATTTTAAATTTGGAAATTTTAATGCTTATTTTGTGAATCATTAATGAATTTTTTGACAATGTCATAAAAACGTCAATAGTCACTTTTTATCTCTATAATACTATTTGTTCCAAATTGTGACATAATGATAATAATTGGCCTTGTTTAGAAAACAAAATACATAGAGAATGAGTATTCATACTCGTGTTGCAAAAAATGTTTTATCGGACAATGTTATTAATGAAATGGTGCTAATATAAGTTATTAGGTCCGTTTGCGTTGCTTGCACTTTTTGCACTTACCATCTTCGCTTTCTCTCTTTTTAACGCCGAATATATACCTATCTATCTCATTTTAAGTGCAAAATTATTTGGGGATTTCATGCAACGCGAACAGACATATCATTTACATGTCAAGAATTAATGTTAAGTTGTAATAATTAATTATATATGTAGTTTATTTACGACAATTGACAATCGTACTTTTAGAACTTCTTCATTAATAATGGATCGATTATTTCAACCGTGGTATTGGTTTGATTGGTTGTTCTACTCATTGCCTGCAGGGAAACAATTTAAATCAGCGCTTGATATATTGCATGGATTTACAAAAGAGGTATAAACATGCTAAAAACGTCTTTGTATTTATATTTAAGAACTTTAAGCAATGTTAAAGTTTTACTACATTTTTTACATTATTTTATTTGAGGAATGTTCATGTTAATATCTAAAACGATAAATTCTATATATGTAGGTAATAAATAAGAGGAAGATTGAACGACAATCGCAAAACGACTATACAGATCTCGAAAATGAAGACAATGAATTTAACATAGGTACTGTAAATATTTAACCTAGGTATTATAAATTTTAATTGTATATTGTACATATTTTACAAATTACACATAATTGATCTACTTTCTAAATATTCTTTATTTAATAAAATTTATTATATTAGATAAACGGAAGAGAAAGGCATTCTTAGATCTATTATTAGATCAGAATGAGAAAGATGACACCCCTTTGACCGATGATGAGTTGAGAGCACAAGTCGACACGTTCATGTTTGAGGTGAAACGTCCAAAATTAAAATTAAAATTTTCCAACTTTTTTTAACATTAAATTTTCTCTTTATTTAATTAAATTAGCAAAATAATATATCTACTAAAAGGACGTATGAAATAATATAAAAATGTTAATAGGGGCACGATACAACTGCGGTTGCGATAACTTGGACGCTCTTCCTTTTGGGGAATAATCTAGAGCAACAGACAAAAGTTCACGAGGAACTCGAAGAGGTTTTTGGAGATTCAGAAGCACCAGCCAGAGTAAAGGAGCTGTCGCAATTAAAGTATCTTGACAGAGTCATAAAGGAGACACTCCGTATATTTCCAAGTGTTCCTGTAATCTCAAGGGAACTAACGGAAGATATAAAAATAGGTAGGATATAATTTTTTCTACTACTTAAGAATCTCAAAAAATGCATATGAGTTGTATAAATTCATTTAAGTGATTAAGCTAGGGAATGCCTATATAGTATTACTGATAAAGTTAGCGTTTTAACGTTCCTCTCCTTTCTTCGTAGTAATTTCACAGAATGAAAATTCTTTTTACGATTAAAATATACATGCTAATCTATTTGACGCTGATTTTGTGTTCAAAGCTGAAAAATTGAAAAATTACAGATTTCTTTATTTATTTTCATCTTCAGTATTAGTCGCTATGCTGAGGGAAAAATGTGCCCATGTCTATGCTTGCACTAATACCCTAGTACACTCTCGCTCCAAGCAATATATTGTAGCAGGTCAATGAGCATAATGAACATGGTAATGATTATAATTACAACGACGTGTCTTAAAAGTTCCACATCGGGATTTTGCGTCGCAACATTTCTGCTCGCACAGCAATTTTTAGACGAATGTAATCCATATTATACATACATATATACATATGTATGTATGTATAACTATATATATATATATATATATATATATATATATATATATATTGTTACGTCCAAGACTCACAGAATAATTTTATCTCACGGGAAAGTGAACGAATTAGGAGAGAGGAAGAAATTTGTTTCCAGGGAGATAGGGATTAATTCGATGTCAGAGTCTCATTTCTAAAATCTATGGAGTTGTGACCTGCGTCTGTCAGATATATCTATTAGCGGACGTTTTTAACGTAGCGGTCACAATGTTTTTGTCCTAGAACGGCTCTCCTAAGCTGCCAACGAGCTTTCTCTAAGATAAATTCCCCAATTTGAATGTTTCTCATGATGGGAATATTTAATTCTTTTAAAGACTCGATTTTCACGCGCTTCGTTCGCTCCACGCGATGTTTGTTACGTTACATCATCTATTTAAAAAAGTTCTTTCATTATTAGGGATAATAATCGATAACTAAAGGAAAAGGGAAAATGGTAGGATTGTGGAAAAAAATGTTGAAAATTCTTGAGGAGAAAAGGGGGAAGGTTTAAGAATGGTATTTTATGGCTAAGCAATTTGCGGATAGGAGAATAGCGAATTATGCAAAGCGTTAATTTGTGAACAGAAAAGAAGCAAAATACTTGAAGCGTTTTATCGTTTAAGAAATTCGTGCAGAGTAGAGTAAGAAATGACTTGAAGCGTTTTACCGCTCAAATAATTTGAAGACAGGAAAAGGAGTGATTTACTTAAAGTTATTTTGCTACTTAAATATTTTGACAAGAGGAGAATCAAGCTGGGAAGATGTTGTGTTTTAAGGAATTTTTTGAATTATAAAAATTTAAGAAAAAGATAGAGAAAAGATAAGAAGAGAGAAAGAGAGTATAGATAAACGAATGTAATAAAAAATAAAATAAAAGTGAAAGAAATTTAATTACATACTTACACAGTTAAAGAAATTTGATTGAATTGGCTTTGCGGGCAGCGAGGAGTCCTCCCGGGTTGTACCGTATCTTTTCAGGGATTTTTCTGAGAATCATTGTATTTGATGCCACTGAGAGATGAAAAAAAAACTGCGATGATTTTCGGCTTCCTGCCGTGAAAACTCCGCATTTCACGAACTTAAAATCGAATAAGTGATTGAAGACTGATAGAAATATACCGAGTGTTCGAAAGTTAAATGTCAAAGCTTCAGGAATGTGTAGAGAATCAATAAACTAAGAAAAAACGTTTGGAGAGATATGCTCGTTTCGGCTTTGTTTTAGAGAAAATAGAAGGAATAGAAAAAAAGACAAAACGTAATTTTTGTTTTTGTATTTTTTTAATTACCTATTCATGTTGTATTTATTCTTGCTTAATGTAGATATATTGTTTAAAATGTTGGCCTCTTGCAGAAATGCAAGCATATTATCTGTACGGACAGCTCGTGTTGCAACCAAACACTGATCTGGTGATATTTAGTGCATTGCAGCTTCGATTCGATTTCTCAATTGTTCACTTATTGAGTTGATTGACAACGAATAATCTTCCTGCTTTAGGACCCTCTTCACAAAGAAGTCCAGTGGTGTCAGATCAGGTGATCGGAGTGGTCAAGACACTATTCCTTTATGTCCAAAAACGAAGCAACTACGTTTCGTCTTTTTTGCGATTTTCTTCAAAACGAAACAAAAACGAGTTTATTTCTTTTACTTTTTTTCTTAATTTATTATCAATCCTTTACCCACTCTCTAAGTTTTGACATTTAAATTCTGGACACTCTGTATAATAAATACCAAGTCTAACTGATTGAAACAGTAACGACTAGTCTCGGAGAGGCTCATATTCATACTCACATAGGGCGATGTCTTTCTTTGTTATTAACAATCAATCTTTGGAGTTTGAACTTTGACTAGCGTTTTCTAGAATTGATTAAATGAATTTGATTTACTAATGTGTGCAAATTCTGATTAGTCTTATTTAGATTTAGACGCGCACGATCTGCGTCGAATACTGATAATTAAAGATTTTCCGCGAGAAATTTATTTGAAATTGATCTTCTAGCCCCGCAACTAGAGGTCTATCAGTTAAATTCGTCAACCAGAAAAAAATTGAATTTAGGTTTTAACAAACAATATTCGATTTGCTACGGTATCTTCAAATTAATTGTTTTCGCAAATAAATTGTTCTTGCAAATTTTTCATGAAAAAGAAAGAATTATTGAGTTAATTCTTCGTATGTAATAATTATATATACATACATATACATATATTAATTATTTAATTTTTTGTAGATAATTATATACTTCCGAAAGATACCACCGTCATATTAGCGATCGCATTAGCACATCGAAACCCAGCGGTTTGGCCGGACCCAATGAAATTCGATCCGGATCGCTTCCTTCCAGAGAACTCGAAGAATAGGAACCCGTATGCATATGTTCCGTTCAGCGCTGGACCGAGAAACTGTATAGGCCAAAGATTCGCTCTACTCGAAGAGAAAATCGTGTTGACTGCTATTCTCAGGAAATGGAGAGTAAAAAGTGTGAAAACACTCGACACAATTAAGTACGGCGGCTCTCTCATTTTCCGGCCGAGCGAAGAGGTATTCATACATTTCACGCCGAAGAAATGAATAGTTTGCTATCAAATATGTTTTTGTGACATAAATTTTATACAATAAAACAAGAAAATAATGTAATATACAAGGCCATAAGGGTCAACCGCAGTTTGTTTATATTGCAAAAAACAATTTAACAGACAATACGTTAAATAAATGTATACGTTTCGACTCCGGTTTGAATTATCTTCAGCATTAAACTAAAAAATGGTATTGCAACAACTGAGATATTGCATCGCTATCACAATATCTTCATTCTGTCCATTGTGAAACAGTTATGATGCAAGAGTAGGTTGTCTAACACAGTTACAACGTTGAGTTGCGATAAAACAACTTAAACTGGAAATTAAAAATTATAATTTTTATTAATTTTGTTTTTATTGCATAATTATAATATACATATATAGAGTGCCCAGAAATTCGACGATAATCTTATTGCACTTTTATTACTTGATTTTTTATTACGAAGTTTTACGCTCCAATAAAGATTATCCTTGAATTTCTGAACACTCTGTATAATATACAGAGTATTGTCTAAACGTACATAATGCACGTATCCTTTTATATATATTATATCTATACGTGTTTAACATTATAAGATTCGAATAGAAAATATCAAAACATATATATTAATACAACCATATCTACTTTTATAATAATAATAAAACGTTTACAATAATAATTTATAGCAATAATTATTACTTACACTTTTATCTTGTATTGGATGAAACATATATTGGATAAGTGGGGAGAATAAATTTATTTGTTCAATTTAAAGTAATTTTACATACTGTGATCTTCTTCCTTGTCTTAACTTTGCCTTAACAACTATAAATGGCAATATAGTTTTCTAGAGTTATAGATCAAATGTAAAATAGTAACGGGAAGAAAACACGGAAGGTTTTTTTATCGGGAATTACTACGAAAAGTCGATAAAAACAAATTTACCAGATACGTAAGATAGAAGTTAGTATTTATTTAAATCTATGATAATTAAATTAATTTGATTTATCACTTTAAAATTTACATATGTAAATTTTCTATAAATTGATTCGCATCGTATTAATCAGTAGATAATATTTATAAAAAGTTTTTTAATCTTATTTAATTGTAAATATATTTATAAAAATAAATACTAAAAAATATTTTTTATATTATGCTTTTTTTATGTTGTGCGCTAATTGGGATATAAAACTGATATTTTAAATTTTGTGAATTAATTTCGCATTTGTTCGTATGAAGACATAAACCGCTAGAATTTACCGCTATTTATATTCCAAGGTTGGAAGATTTTTTAAATTTGAGGATATATTTTCTGCGAAGTATTTTTTGGAGGTTTAGAAGAGAAGACGCTTGGAAGAATTTATGAGGCATTTTTCGAGAGGAAAATATTAAGAGATATCTAAATTATATGGCTAAAATATTGAGAAAATCGCAATATAATGGAATAATTTTTGAACATGGACCTGGCAACATTGTAATAGTGTCTTCCTGAACGCGTTCACAGTGAGCGCGATCATCGCAATGTGATTGGTTCCCTCAATTTGAAACTTCACAGAATCGTAATTGCGCGCCCAATCTAGAAACTCGGGACGAGCAGTTGAAATTGCTCCGTGTATTTCTTGCTTTTACTAGCGTCTAAAAGAAATCTCAATGTGTGTATGTGTGTGTTAATAGTTCAAGTGATGAAAATACAAAGTGTATATGTACGATCTGAACGTAACGTGTATCGTGAGTCATCTTCTATGGTGTATTGATCAAATATCGGCAGTATAACCTTTAAGCGTCGACCAAGGAACCGTTGTCTTGGCCAGCTTACGGATTCCATATTCTGTGGAAATGCAGTCAGGATGCAACGTGTGGAAGATCATTATCAGGTATTTATCAATAATCAGGGATTGATGTTGAATTCGCCGAGTTGAATTTCTAACAGCAGAAAGAATCATACGCTTATGCTCCGTTAATTTGCTGTCTACAACAATAATAAATTTCAAATTTGTCATTGTATTTCTGTATTGAGCAATATCGCATTGATTGCTCGAATATTTACATCGAATAGTATTCTGCGTTCTTTCCCGGTGTGTCATTTTGATAATTGCAAAAATTTACTGACTTATATTTGAATTTAATATATAATTAATATAATATTATTAATAATATAGCCTATTTTCTATGTAGCTGACCTAATATACATTTTTGTAAAATGGATATATTTGATAAAAACGAAAATTCAAGTGCGATGAAAAAAAAATTTCTTGTCAGATGGCGCGTAATGCTCGTTGTGATATTATCGATCGAGTTTCTTCCGGCGCAATCGCTTCGTCTCGGGAGGTAATTCGATGGTAACGAAACTTAGCATTCGGCGCTGTAAGTTTCCGGTGTTTCGTCATCATCAGGAGGAGAAACACGAATAGAAATGAGTGTGATAGATAGTAAATAACCTCACTTAAAAAAATTTTTTTAATATCGTGTGTGCAGTGATATCCAAGCGTTGAGTATAATGTTTCGAATACATCATTTCACTAATATGACCTCGCGTGTCGTTGCCATTAAAAGAAACGATGTGAGATTCGTAAGTATTCGTAAAATTAAAGAAACTGTCCAACGACTGCTGGGTATGCATTCCAACGAGTTGCCATATCGACACATTTGTCAAGTTGGCGATCCTGTCTTGCGCGGTCACACCATGAAGATAGAACCTGAAGTTATAAGAACGGCGGAATTTCAAAATGTAATTGAATATGTATATGAAATTGGCTTCCACGCTATAAATTAGATTTGCTATATTGTTAGGTCAACTGTTAGGTCTCCATGGAAGAAATTTCTACTAAAGAAAGTCACGTCACAAAGTTACGTAACGAAATCATGTAATAAGTAATTGAAATATGTTAATCACATAACGGATTCTAAATCAATACGATTTTTTTAATTCACGTATGTTTTTTTCATTTATTTCTATCATTTAATTATTTACAATTCGATAACTATAAAATTATATGAGAGATGAAATTATTTTTAATATTATGTGATTTTTCAAATTATGCGATTTAAAAAAAAATATGATAAAACATACTGATTTGGAACAATCCGTTATGCGATTTTTACTTGTTTTATTTACATAATTTTGTGATGTGTGTAACTTTGTGACGTGATTTTTTTCAATAAGGATATTTTTACCAAGTTTTAACTTGCTATATACTATTGCGAAAGTGACAATTAAAAAAATACTTTTTTATCATAATTTTTTTCTTTTTTCCTACTTTATGAAAAATTATGCAAAGAATTATTGATGTTCTATTCATCAAGATACATTTCTAGAAATTTTTATGGTAATTCTACAATATGCTCTTTGTTTCCTGTTTCTTGCTGTTTGTCTCTTTTTGATGAAAAGGCAAGAGACAAACAACAAGAAAAAGGAAACAAAAAGCACATTGTAGAATTACTATTAAAGATTTTTAGATTAGAGAAATGCGAATTTTTAAAAATTCAAGAAATTTGAAATTACCAATATTTAAATGAAATTGTTGAATGACTAACTTTATATTTTTTTATCACAATACTTTTCCAACATTATTCACCTCAAATTATTTCAGATTTTTTGAAAGTAATCGTCAATATTAAAAAATGGAAAACATGATAAATATGTTATGTGAGATATGAAAATTAAAAAAGGGAAGGTGAATTTTATAAAACATTCAGTTATTTTCAACAATTATGTTTTTTTTTTAAGAGTAATTATAAAATAAAATTTAAATTATTTTATAAAAAGCAAAGCAAGAATAATTTTTATATCGTATTTTTTTCACATTGATGTGAATTTTAAAATTAATTTTATCAAATATTCTTTTTTATTATATTGTAGGTATTGTCACTACTATTCTAAATTAAAAATCTTATGATTTGACATAAAAATACAGAATTGCATTGGTGATTGCTGTTTATTATTTAGGTAATCAAGCATTTGATAAATGTTATGCGGGCATATAATACGTTCGGTTTATCTGGACCACAAATCGGACTTCCCTGGCAAATATTTGCAATCCAATGCACAGAGGAAATTATGGAGGGGGTTGAGGAGGGTCTTAGGAAGACTCGTGAAATGAATATCATCCCAGTGACAATTTTTATCAATCCCGAATTAAAAGTTATAGATTATACACCTATCACTCTTTACGAGGGATGTGGAAGTATTCTAGGATATTCTGCTGCTGTGCCGAGAGCCTACGAAGTAGAAATTAAAGCATTAAACGCTTCCGCCGAACAGTTCACGTGGAAAGCACGTGGATGGTCTGCTAGAATAGCACAACACGAATATGATCATTTACAAGTAAGTAAGAGTTATATCAGAAACAGGAATATTCTCATATCACACTACAAATACGTAGAATAACAACAAATTAGTTATATAGAAAGTAATTTGTTTCTATTTCTCAGGGAAAGCTGTACATAGAGAAAATGGACGTAAGGACATTTCATTGTATGGTTTGGGATAGAATTAATAAAAATAAGGGTAAAATACGCTTAACTTATTCGACGTAACATTAATTTGTGTATGACGCATATAAATTAATATTTATATTGATTGAAATAAATGCACAGTGCTCACATTAAAACGAGCATTAAAATTAAAGTGTGCTTATTTATAGTATACATATATAAAAGTAATATTCCAATCACTTTAATTAATTGTTATTAGTGTCGTTTTTAAAGTTATAGCTGTTTCTTTTATCACATTCACATTTTTTTATAGACAGATAAAATTTTAAATATATAGATTTTAGAATACAATCTACTCTTTATTTACAGAATGATAATAATAATTATTTTTTGTAAACATCTTGATCACGTTCATTCTTCGATAACGAAACGAACTAAAAAAAATATTTTATATTTTCCTTGAACATGTATTCAAAGATAATAAACATTGAAGGAAAGAACGATTTTCCTGAAAGATTTACAAATACGAAAATAATTTTGTTAGCCCATTAAAATAATTTTAATGATAACTCAAACTGGTTACTTTCTAGTATATTCTTATCAACATTTCTTACAGCATTGTTCATCATTTTTCAATTTCCAACATAAATTATTTTGGCGGTCTAATAGAATTATTTTCAGAGCTGTATCCAGCAAATTTTTAGATTTTTCAGTAAAATCGTTATTTTCAAGTATATCTATATGATATATAATATCTCTGACAATAGAATTTACCTTAACAATAGAAATTTTGTACCTTAGATTTTTCTTTCAATATACAAGCAATTTTTTATAACATTAACTTAAAGAGTAACAGCTACATAAAAAATAGGATATTTTATTTACGCAATTTTCAGAATACAATCATAATAGACTATCAGATATACAGTCACAGGTACACGGAACTACATCGTACCGAACGAATAGAATAAATATTTCATTCGTATAAACCGCATTTTGCATAATTCTGTTGAATTTACACTTCCTTGCGTTACATTCAGTTGCTATCTTACTAGCGCAGCTTTGAATATCGTTCAATTACATTTTATATTTCTATCACGTATATGGTAGTTACATCTTTTAGTGGTCTCTGATATGATAACAAATATATATTCTATTAACGTATATACATTGCAGCTATGATTCTTTCTGTGTGTTTTGACTGCGTTTTTCGTTAACAAGAAAAAATAATTCTCTAATTATTTTGAATATTTTATAAATATGTGAATTATATATATATATATATATATATATATATATCTCAGCATGCAAAATTTGCACTTTTTCTCTTCCTTTTTAATTGCGATGAGTTTACATTTCTGAGAAAAATTTTAAATAAAATTGTTGCTTGTTTATTTTTTTTATTTAAAACGTGTTTTATCTAGATAGAAATTCCAACAGTTAGAGCGGCTGATATAAAAAGCGAGTTATAAATATCACAACAGTTGTGGTATGAAAAATTCCTTCTCGATATCGTAGATATTTTGTTTATTATTTCGTGTACGTCATTAATGTACAGAACTGTTTTGGACCATTCAAAGAGATGAAATGCGTTTTTCTGGTACTCAATTTTTTCAGCTGCATTAGTTGTTCTCGTATTCATAATAATTAATCACGACTCTGCGTGTTTCCCTAATTATATACTTTTATTAGAGTTACATTATTTTATGACATGTATTATGTACACTTAAATTGTATCTTAAAAAGCGTTTGTTTTCCCAGAGTATTTCTTGCTCCGACAACATCTGAAAATCTAAAAGGAACATGAGTTATAAAGATATTATTACATATACATTTTAAGTTTATTAACGTTGTTTTGTTCGTCTTTCTTTAGAATTTACTGAATAAATAGGATAAGACCGTATCAAAAGAAAATACATTAAAACGAATCTCTTCTAAAATATCATACATAATAATAGAGACAAGAGAAAACAAAATTATAATTATTTAATAAAAAAATATAATTGGACTTTATCATTACATATATTAAAAAGTTGAGACCAACTTTGCTACTTATCTTATGATATTAATAATTTTGAATATAAAATTACGTATTAAATTTATTTCATAAGACAGGAAGCGATTGAAATTTAGATTTTTGCAAATAAAAAATAAATAATAGCAATAAGTTTAGACTTATTTTCTACAAATTCACAACCACATCTAGTGCGCATTTAATGTATTCACATAATTTACAATCGTTATTACTATTAACAAAAAGCTTGCCGTTGACTGTGAAGATATATAATTTTATATATGAAATTTTATATCTTTGATTTTATTTAGTTTAAATTATGCGTAAATTTTATCTTTTAATTCTTAAGCTTATTGATTGAAGAAATATCTTAGCTGTAAACAAGAACCTTTAGTCTTGAATTCTTCAGATTTTTTTTTATTCAAAGAATTCTTGTATACGAGAGGAACACGACAATTACGCGATGATGTTACGTGTTATAAATCATTGTTCCTAAGTTTTAAATATAACATTTTTCTAACATCGATTAATCGTGACTCTTAATGAGTTCATTTTCTTAAAAACATCGCATATTAAACTATGAAGAAATTGCAGTAAATATAACATTTTGGTCCGTTGATTTTTTTTAAAAGACTATGAATGGTACGCCAATAGAGATAATTTATAGTGATAGTCAATATAATAATACCACCAGAAACACATAGAAAAACATAAGCAGTAAGCGAAGTGGCCAATCACAATAGAAAATATAAGACAATGGTTACGTTTTCTGCTATAATTGGCCAAATTGCTTACTGCTCATATCTCATTATCTCACTACGTTTTTCTATGTATTTTGGCTTTACTCTTTTAAGTTAGATATAATAATGTAATAACACAGATATCTCTTTGCGACTAAAAAATGTCGCATGTGACTAGAGAGAGAAACTCGATTTAAATTCTTGAAACGAAATAATTGTATTTTTGGCCTAAATATTAATATACAAGGACTAGCTTGACAGCAGAAAGAAATCGTTCCTTTCCAGTATACTGTAAACGCAGGTGTAATTGAGCCGATTGCATCGTTGATTGACGGAAAGAGCCAGAATTAAAGGAGACTTCGATATTTTCATATCCTCCCAGATATTTTCATATCCAGGTGTGTACTCGTTGTTGCTGAGAGTTTTCTTCCTCCTGTCAGGACACGTGTCCTCTGGTCTGCGAAGTCCTCCATTTTTTGCCATGATCGCGATGATGAGCCAACAGCCGGTCGTTTCCGCTTCTCACTGATTGCAGGTGCAGCGGTATTCGCACCGTGCCTATCGAATTAGAAATAGGGCTTGTTTGCATCGATACATCGATTGCTACGTATCGTGCTATATCCAATTATACTACGGTGATTAACAGCGCCGTTTCGTGCCGTTGAGTTTAATCGTATGCGTACGTTCAGATATAATTCGTGCGAGTTATCGAATTCATCGTTATGTATGAGAAATCAAACAAGGCTCTAAAAAAGTGAATGTTACTTTTTATTGCGTGCAATTCTAAAATTAATAAAAACTTAACATGTAACATAACTAAAATGTTAAGGATATATGTGTTCTTAATTCAAACATAATAGATGGAAATACTGTGAAAAATAAAAATTCAATGATATTTTATGAGAATATAATTAGATAAAATGATATTAGTATTTATAACAATAATCAAACAACAAAACATCTACTCAATTAAAGTGCTATAGGAAGCGCGTTAAAATCATATATATACTAAATGTTTTTATCTTAACATATTTTGTTAGCAAGAATTAATTCTTTCAGCAGTAAATTGATATGGAAATTCTGTATGGTTTTGCATTTGTTAATCAAATTTATTCCTTTAAATTCTAAAGGTTTAATTCTTGATCTTGCAAAGAATATTTCTCGCAAGTTAACAAATGACAAACATGCAATCATAATTTATTTTTCGCGTTCGTTTCATGTTTATTACTTCCCGTCAGAATTGTTGTATTGTAATCGATACGAACCACGGAATGCGAAGCGAACAGCTCGTATCTGCATTATACATTTAACACTAAATATATTTGATTCTCACCTGGCATCGAATTTTCGTACAAACAATTTTTATGTCGAATAACAATTTTACGTTCCGTATTAAATGCATAAATAATTTAATACGCTTCAAGAACGAGCCGGTATCTTCGATTCCATTAAATCAAGTATGTACTCGAGTGCTCATAGGCAAGATGTAAGCTTTGCTCGGAATTTCGCGATGATCAGAGCGAGGTGCAATTCCTGACCGCAACAACGTTGTCACGATCGACGTCGACAAGAACGTCAGGGACCAAGTGACGCAAATCTATAGAAGATGTTCGCGTGTTCCCTTGGGCTAGATCAGTGTCCTCGAAGTGAGACTCTGACTCGCTTGTAGGCGTTGTGGAACCGGTGGTGCAAGTGTGCTCCGAGAAGGTGCACGTACCGTTCCGCGATATTCTGGTGTGCATGTCTGGACTACCAGTGCAGCTGTATCTGGATGTCACGGCCTCCGAACGCGACAGAGACGGCTCCGATGTCACACGCACCCACGGACACCAGAAGAAGAATTGAGCGAAGCCACGGCGGAATCTGCACAAAACATGTTGGAGATCGATGGAGTATATCTCATGATTCATTCTTAAAACTATCAAGATACTCCTACAGCGCATTTTATTCGAAGGACATTCTACATTTTTAGGAACATCCCTTGGAGATGTACTGTATGGGATACAATATTGCATGGATAATTTTCAGTCGAATAATCTTTGTTTTTTACACGTAAAGAACATGAATAAATGAGCATTATATTGTAGAATATATTTACTGAAATCTCACTAAAAATATAAATATAAATCTGCTTCAGCGAGAGAGAATTAAGATTATCTAATTCAAAGATTATTTATATGCCATAGTAATTTTAATATAATATTTTTATTTGCCACATCATAAAGCACAAAGTTTCATTCTTTTTTCTCTGATATATTCATGAAGACAGAATGATATATAGTAAATCGTGCATGTCATCAAATAAATTTGGTTCTCCTAAGAGAAATATCTCATTCAATTCAAAGATACAATTCATGCGTTATATTATATATGTATAATACATAAATATATATATTTGTTTTTTCACTTGCAGAAAATAAGTCTTTGAAAATAGCGATTGTGAATCACAAATGTTTTCTCACATGCAGCTCATATTCTTATTGTGATACATACGGAAAAAGAATGATCTTTTAAGAAAAAAACATTGGCAGAATCACCTAATTGTCCCGGATGAAAAATCACGCACGTAATAATATAGAAAGAAAACTAATTCAATTATTATTATATAATACATTACGATCCTATAGCTGCGCCATTGTTATTATTATTCACAATCATTACGACATCGTGTTCCGGATGCGAAAACAATGATATTCGCGTATAGTGTTGTACGTATATGAATATTTATGAGACTGAAGCATATTCTGTCGATAGCACGTGGAAAATTGAAATTGTGCGTTTGACCTCCGGATGCCTGTTACATCGCAGCGAGGTGTTCATCATATATTACATTTCCACTTTATTAGTTTTGACGTTACATTTATTCTTTTTTTTTTCATATACAAATAAATAACCGATATTAATAAGAAACGAAACGCACGTTACGTGTGACGTGTAAGAGGGGATTTGGGAGCGCAAAGGGGAATTCGAACCACAATTTGATCATCGACCTTCGTCTCAATACTTTCATTCCCATTTCCTTTTGCGAATAAAGTGAAATTATTTTAATTGCTCTCCGAAGATTCACACGGCTTTTCTTGATGGACATCGATTGGTCAGCGACGTTTACTGAGTTGGCATATGGATTTAAAAACATATCCTTTACGATGCAACTCTATGACGATATAAATCGCTTATTTTGCATATATTGGAATCTCAGTTTGGTCGACCACGTTTTCATTATCATGGATATTCATCATTTAAATGGATTGTTTGTGTAAACGCATTAATGGCAACGACGTTACTTCCTATTTCTGTATAATAACTTTGCCAGCGTTCCCTACCCTCGAAGTATCTCTAAAGTCGGATAAGCTTATCTTTTGTGTGCTATATTGGATTAACTCTCGACAGTTCGTCAAACACTCTCGATGAGGTAGCGACGATAAAATGAATTGCCGGAAATCGAATTTTAATTAAGAATCTTATAAGATAAAACTGCACTATTGTGTAATAAATGACCAAATTATTTTTACATACTCTGTAATTTTACAAATGTGTAAATACGTCCATTTTTAATCATTTTATCTTAATAACAAAGGTTATCAAAGTAGTTTAAAAAAGTTAACCAATACAATTTGAAAATTAATAGAATTTATACGTGACATTTTAACAAAATATAAGATATATAAACGATAGAAACTCAAACTTATATTGAGGATCTGTACTTTAAGAGCAATATTTTGTAGCGAAGACTCGTGTTTAATTTGTGTAGATCCACTAATTAACATAGAATAATTTAAGTTAGTCCTTGCTTATCGCGATGGGCAAACTTACGAAGCGAAGCACTGCGCGGTATCCAAGATGTTGAAGAGGGAAACTTTCACGAACTCTGTTAACAAATGACGAGAGGATTCGTCGATACTGTATCTATGTATTTGCCTATCTCACGAAGTTTGTAGAATCTGCACAAGGACTCTCGAGAAATAATCTCTTGGATATATTTACAACGCTAACATCGTGAAAAAATTAAACCTGTGTTACAATTATATTAAAATTGTGATACGTTTTAAAAAGCATTGCGAATAACAAAGCAAAAATCTTACCTAGTATTCATCCAACAATAAATTATAGGGTTGTACATGCTATTGGACATCGCTAGCCAATATATGCCCAGGAAGACCTCCTGGATGTACGGTTCATTTGTAATCTCTGGCAGATAGGATGTCACTATGAAGTACATATGAAACGGAAGCCAGCACACTGCGAATATTACTACTACGACTATCATCATTTTTACGACCTGAAATATAAAGAAAAATCATATCAGACAAGACATAAAAGAAACCAGTTTCTCCATGATTAATTCTATAAAGTTAGACTTTCCCGATAAAGATAAAAACAGCGAAGCTATTTTCAGTACCTTCAAAATTTTATTAAAAAAGTTACATTATTTATATTTTATAACGAAGCAATTACAAAAATATATTAAAAAATTTTAGATAAATGAACTTGAATCCTCTTTCATATTTACGTTAAGATTTTCTTATAAAAGTTATGTAAAATAATTAGAGAAATAATTACATTACAGTTTTAAATTGTATTATACTTGAACAATATGTATAATAAGAGAATAATCAGCTTATATGTTTCATATTTAATTAAATTCGATAGATTATATTCTGCTCATTTTAATATAATATGTAAATAATCGTAATTATTTTATATTATAGATGTATTTATATACGAATATGTGACATATGATGTTATGCCGCCAAATTACCGATGATTTTAATGAAAACACCTGTTAGATTCGTTGTACATGCAACGCGCACGCTGCGAATGAGGATTCCCGCGAATATCAATTCTCGTATTCATAATAATATTCTGTGAATTATATTGAAACAATACGATTAATCATGATAAATAAAACTATCGATTGCTTCTATATGCACTTCCTACTTCACCAGTTTCGAGATCGGAAAACTATAATGAATACTTCTTTGAGTTTGCATTTTCTGTAAAGAATTTTACAGGTGATTAAAGCCACGATAACGAAGTGCTTGTAGCATATCAATTTCTCCGTCGTTTTTGTTATTATCGCGAGATTCAATTTTGTCTTACCTTCTCTTCCGCATTATACTCCGTTATATTACACTTTTGTCTGTTCGAAGAGGAATTCTCCTTTCCGTTGAAATTAACGATCTACTCAACTTCGCACAGGTATAGTTCTCGTAATCAGTTGAGGACAGCTTATAGAGAACGGCTATTTGAGAAATAACTTAAATTGGATTTCTTGAGATAATTACGAGCTGTACCTTATTATCGTCTTTAAATAATTAAAAAGTAGATTTACGTTCGTTCCGTAGATAAGGTATGTGATTTTTACTATAGGTATGGACCTAGCGGCTAATTCAATTATAATTTAGAACAATGAATACTGTTCATTCATTTTGTATTGAAATATACAGTTTTGGAGTTTCAATGCAAACACTTCGAAAAATTGCTTTAGTGCAGCAGACCGTGATATTTCCTTCGAATATTTATGCCTGATCGTTGGCAAGTGTTTGTAAAGCTTTGAGATACTTCCGGAGCACATTTTTATTGCTTCTATGCTGCTACGTTTTCTACGAAGTCGGATAAGAATTTGCATTTTTCTTTCTTGCTCGAAAAATCCACGATAATCGCACCAGTGTTTTATTCGCGGCAATGAATTTTGAGTAGCCCTGTCTTTGTAGGTATAACTTATTTTTTCTTTTCTTTTTCTTCTTTGCAATTTTTTTTAAATTCGCAAAAATGTTGAATAAATGAATTTAAAGGATAAAGAATTTTGTTTTGTTACATGTAAGAATTTTATTTGTCATATATGTAATATCAAATAGTACAAAAATCTCTCGTCTTAAAATGAAACTGAATCGAAAAAGACATGTTGAAATTAAGAAATGACTAATCCATGTTTAATTGCTTTTATTTTAAGGAAAGAATCAGAAGAATCGATCATCCGGAAAATCCGAATGCCAGAAGGGAATTAGTGGGTGGCTTTCATCGTTATCAGTGCAGATTCTTCCGCTAAAAGAATTAAGAGAATCATTGATGTTCTGAAATAACAGGAGGGATGAAAGATTTGATCTTATACTGTTCGGCCTACGCGGACTTAGCCGATTTTTTTATTCGGAAAGAGAATGATTCCGCTGCCGCTGCTAAAGTATAATTAAGGCCAAGAGAAGTAGTTCGTTTCGGCGTATGTTTGCGTCCCGACGACTGGTCACATTATCCGACATCTCCTTTCTTCCTCGAAATGTCAGACTTCACCGTCAGCTTCACTGTTAGTTTCTCTATTGTTCTCCCGGGTTTGCAGTAGCGCGCGTATTCATACACCAGCGTATTTGACACGATCTCAGAAATCTTCCTTCTGCGAGATAAATTGTTACAACGACGTAACCACCATAAAAGAGGCATTATTTATTGTTTATATTACCGAGCCAAGTATTTAAAATATTTCAGATATTATATATCTCCTTTATTTTCTCAACGACGATTCAATTAAACATCATTGTTTTATCATTGTACGTTCAAAGGTACGACACAAAATTGGATTCTTGTCGTTCTTTTGGTAAACGTGCTCAGCATTAAGATTTCTATTTATAATCGTATTTCGGTTGAGAGAGTAAACTTAGCGGAAAGCAGTTCTAAAATATAATACGATTTAATAAATAAATCTTGGTAGTTAATTCGATGTCCGTTACGTTGCATTTGTAATCAGAACTTAATTTGAATGAAGATAAAATTTGTTTTAAGTATTTTATTTCCTGCAGTTAAAAATCAATTTTTAAGAAAAATTATTGTAAATGTGTACGTATGTTAATAGTTTTTTAATCGTATAACATATTTTGTAAATATTTTAGAAAAGAGCAATTATTTAAACTTGTTATAAAAAACTTGACTTTAATTTCAACCAATTTTTAGAGTATAAAACAGTAAAATAGAAATAAACTTTATTTTTTAAATAATATTGATATTTATCAATCTCTATTTAAGTAGAACAATTATATATATATATATATATATATACATATATATATCATTTAAATTCTCATTAAAAGAAATAATTAAGTAATTCGCGTGTAATAATTTAAATTTGCTATTAGTAATATACATATTTATACTATATTAACAATATATACATATATATATTATTAAATTGACAATTATTTCGTCAATTAAAATTTAAGCAACGATATTTTTATTCTCAATCTCGAAAAAAATTAATCACTATTTACAAAAATCCAATATAACACTGAAAGATAATGATTAATTATTCTGATCTTATTACACTATTAATTACTAATTTTAATATTAAAAGCACAGTCTTTAATAAATAATTAATCATTACCTTCAGCTAAAAATTTCTGTAAAAGTAGACGATTTTAATCAGTTCGTGAAACAAAACGCGAAATTTGAGATATTAACTTATTTATATCGGAATGCGAAGAATAGATATTTGACGCGGTTTTATTTTATGATAGTATTAATATTTCGAGACGATGACAACTTTGCTGGCTCGTGATGTCGCGCTATATTTACACATAAGATCGTCGTAATATCACTCGCACAATGAGATTCAAGCCAACAAATTGCGGCACGTTCCGCTTCGTATTATTCTATATTGAAAAAAAAAGGATGTCATAACGTATTGACAGCATTATTTTAATTGAAAATAATTTTGTTAATTTAATAGTACTATTAATAAAGCAAATACATCACGTATTCATGCTTTAATAAAATTTTATTTGTTTCATTACATTATAACAAGATTACTTTCACTTAAAATAATGCTGTTAATGCAACATTCTTTTTCAGTGTACAAAACGTGATCGTAAAAAGTAGACGACGCTTATTTTACAATTGTTACAGTAAATTCTTATTAACACGTAATTAAAACTTTATGAATGTGTCGAAACGATTATCACGAAGCAAATATTTCACGCGGTTTATATTTTATTTGAAATATGAGGCTCAGAACGATAGAAAATATAATTTATTGTCGCGATATTTGCGGGCAATCAATAACTCATTACAATAACATATTTATTAATAATTAGATTTCGCTTATTTTTTGCAACGCAAAGTATAAAAAAACGACGGTCTAAATCGAACGATAATAAGTTTTTTTTTATATAAAATGATATAAATAATATATTTATATAAAATAATTTTATTTTGTTTCTTTATACTTTGCACATTTATTAATGTTTAAATCTTTTATTGCGCTTTAAACATTTAGACATAATTTATCATTTTGCTGTAGCGCGCAATAATATATAGACTCGTTCAATCGAATTATTTATTGAAATAATGAGAAGTCGCGTTATATCAATCATGTACGAATAACTAATTTGAAGTGAAAAAAGAAACAGAATATTTAGTGTATAATTACTTCTCAGAACTTCTCGGAATACGTTAAATGTTACCCGTCGCGTCGTGGAGAATAGAGTTTGGATAATAGTTTGTTGTTTATTTTGATACGCAATGCTGCTGCGCCGCGCGAACCGTATTATCGTTCACGCGGCGATTAGCGAGATTCAAGTTGTAAAGTAGCGGTGCATACTATTCTGTACTAAAGATCCTCTAATAAGAGTTTGGACACGAACAGTATTTTGTATGCAGGTCTCTAGTTTCAGCAAATTCAGCTAGAGAGTACATTCACTATTTCTTTCTTTTTCTATGTTATCTTTTTCTTATCCTTCTCTCAGGAATTACTAAAAATACAAACTCTCTAATTAAAACTGCACTGGAAAAAGAGTTTGGTAATAGCTATCAAATGTTTAGTAAAATAAATGTTAAAAATATGTATAATCAACATAAAAATATGTATACTATATATATATATATATAACAAAAAATATATATAATTTAATTTTAATAGTATTATATCATACGATTTAATTTCTTATAAATATTAAATATTATACTGCAATCGTTCAATAATTTTATTAAATATTTAGAAAATTAAAATTATTTTTGGTTATATAAAACAAACATTTAATTAGTATTATTTTACCAAATTCTTTTCTTAGTGTGCTCGTTACACGTCCTTTTATCAGTTTTTATCAAAAGATCTCTACTCGGTACAATGAAATGTGTGTCGCGTACAATTACGTCAAGTGCCATGTAAAGTACGAACGATTATTTTATCATTACTAATATGCGGAATTAATCACGTTTTCACAAATATCGTGTTACAGAAGTACAAATAAATCTGAGAGGAGGAGATTGAGATGCATTGAGCGACAACGGAGAAAT